TACGGCGGTCCAGTCGATGCAGTGTTTTGGGTCGAAAAATAAAGTGCTGAGACACGATGTCAACTGATAAATTATAATATGCCTTCTTATAAGACGTCAGACCTGTTCCTTCGTTTTGTCCTATAAAGCTGATATATATGCTCTAACCAAAGACTCTGTGTGGATCTTTGTTCTCTGAATTTTTGTAGCTGTGGATTCTATCCTTTGGATCCATGCAATTTTGAATGACAGAAAGTGTTCAACGAGCACTTCGAGGTCTTCACCAACTGATCGAGATCAACATCGCTCTTCAAGATGTGTTGTAGATCTAGTGTTGATTTCCTCATTATGAACCAGGTGCACTTCTGCATATCATTTTACGTCCACCTTGCATCCCCATCAAGAACATCATCATCTTTATCAATGGATAAATCACCATCGTCATGATTATATAGGCCTACATCTATATCAGGGTTATAATAATACTTATTTCACATAGATCTAGGGCCTACCAAAAATAAAACTAAAAGCGCATTTAACGCAAGGGACGCAAACAAGAAATAGGAAACGTTCAAAGCTTCCTGGTTTGTGGAGTAGTCGGACGTGTTGTTATGGGCCATTCATAGCGAATAGCGAAGTGACCTACTTCTGAACGCGCTTCGTTCGCTGGGCCAGGCGGATCAAAAACAATGGCTAAAGTAGCGACGATGTTCGACGGGGTGCGTAAACATTCAGTACAGCTTAGATAAAATATGTTTTTATGCTACCATTGTTATTTTGTTGAGTAGTTTTAACTTCGTGTGCTTATAGTTTTGTGGTCGGTGAGTGATGTGTGTATCAGTATCACTCAGTATTATTGTGTTGTGTGCAGTCGGTCGGCTGTGGTCCGTGGTGAAAACGACTTTTTATCACGAAATGAAATTTAAGGTAGGATGAGATAAAACTAATCTAGATCTAGATCTACGACGTTTTTTTATTTTAAAAATTATTTGGTTATATCTGCAGATTGCAGTTTCGGGGAAATGGATATGGAAAGACGACCCAGTGAACCCAAGTCTAGAGTTTGTGAGGTATGGCTTCCAATATGTACTTTCGTACCCACCTTTCTATCAGTAGGTTCTGTGGTGTAGTGGTTATCACGTCTGCTTTACACGCAGAAGGTCACGAGTTCGAACCTCGTCAGAACCTCATTTTTTTTCCCTTTTTAAAAAATCCCTAATTTTTTTCAAGTTCTTTTTCCTGCCTCCCGCATATCATTTCATTTCATATTTCTTTTTAATTTATTGAACTGATTTTCTTATTTGTATTATTATTGTACTGAAACTGAACTGCCAGTCATGCAAATTCTTTATCATTAATTAAATCTTTTTCCCCCCTCTAATTGACTTGTAAATTAGGTCTACTCATTAAAATTTTTTATTCTAGATCTAGATCTAGATTATCTAGATCTAGCGAATGGCTAGATCTTGTCTCTTATGATTTTTTAAATGCAAGCATGTACACAATAAACTCACACTAGATTCTATATTGGATGTTTGACTGTAAATATATCTATGGAAACCTGTTAATGAAATTCAGACTAAAGTTTATGACGTTTGCTGCATAAGGCATAAGGTAGGTTAGGATGTTATTTTTATTTTATTGAAAGAATATTTTTTTCAGCAATAACCCAAATGCAGACAGGCAAGACAGGCGTAGAAGAGCTAAGGGACATGATGGGAAAGGGCGTGGAGACAGGTATATATACAAGCTTAAAATAATTACTGCTGTGTGTCTTTGAACAAATTCTTTAAAATTTGTTTTTTTTTTTTCCGTTGAGATTAAATTTTGGTACTATAGTCCTACCTGCTCAAATGACCACCAGTCATCAGTCTAGGACAATGACCTGTACAAATGGCCATTTTCCACTTCCCCCTTGAGTTTTTTCTACATTATAATTTCACTGTCCAAGATGTCCACCTTTCTAAAACAACAGCTTTCCTCATCTCTGTCTAGGATAATTTCGACAGTATATAAGAAATGTTTTTGAAAATATTCTTTCAGTATCATGTAATGCAAAAATGCTCTCTTTTATAATTCATTTTTGTGAGCGTAGACCTGTGGGATGTCCCTTTTATTTTTGTTGCTAAATTTAACAAATGTGAGGCATGCTGACAGAATGACTTACATGATCTTGGATTCTGGCCCGATGTAATATAGCTATGGTAGATTTATAGGTTGAGTTTGTACAATTTATTAGTTTGAAATGATAAGATATGTTAGCCTTGAGGAAAATGGGATCAGTTGAAAATTTACAAATTTGACCATATTGTATCTATTTTCGGCTGATATCTGCATGGATTGGGAGAAGAAACTCTTTTTGTTAGCACGCCTCTCGAATTTTACTTTCGCAAGTTTTGTGTTTTTGTCTGATCTCTTTTTTTTTTTTTTTTTAAAGGAAACTGGTTGATTAGCTGAAATAGCAAAATCTGTGCATTCTTATTGTCTCCTATGTGGGTCAAATAGTCATCCCTTTAGTCAGGCTTAAAATTCTATCCAGTGAAGTGAAATTTTTATGCTTTTAATTTTGAACCAAAAGAAAAAGTGTGGAATTTTTGCTCGAAAAATTTGAACTTGTTCTCTTCAATGAGCTCTCTGACCATTATATATTTAACTTTTAACGAATGCAGCAGAAGGAAGGGCTGTTGTTATTGTTATATTATAATGATAATCTCACTGTATAGCTGGAAGTTATTATCTGCCTTCAAGAGACATGGTTAAGCCGAAATATAGACATTTGTGTGCCTGGTTACTCTATTGAACGAAGTGACAGAGATGACGGAAACAATGGAGGCGGGGTCGCGACATTGATTAAAGATGGTATTACCTACTACCGATTCCATGATGGAGTAGTTGCCAACCCCGACTCCACAAAGGAATTCGTAGGCACACTCTTGTACTTACCCGGCAGAACCCTTAAAGTCGTCAACCTGTACATCCCACCACGCCACAAAGGTAACTTCGTTCCCCACGTACTCAAGACTGATGCAAACACCATCGTCGTAGGCGATTTCAACTGCCATCACCCTTCGTGGGACCCTTACGTCGACCAGTGTGCCACCGGAACAGAAATTGATGACTGGGCCCTCGACAATGATATGATTGCCCTCAATGACGGCTGCGAAACAAGAATCGACCCGAGCAGTATGCTCAAATCAGTCCCTGATATTTCCTTCTGTCATGTTTCACAGGTTGCTTATGTCTCTTGGAAAACCAGTGACACCCTGGTCTCTGACCACAAAGCCATCGAAATCAAACTCTGTAGACACTCTGCCCCCACCCGTAGGAGCAAAGCCAAATGGTCCTTCAAGAAGGCTGACTGGTCGTTGTTCAATGCCCACATGGAAAGAGAGACTTTAGCAAATGACATGCCTAACATGACGGACGCCACAAAATTAAACACGTGCCTAACTGAGGCCATTTTAAAAGCAGCCAAACAAAGTTTCCCTAAGGGCGCTCGTAAACTTCCTAAACCCTTCTGGAATGAAGAAGCGGACAAACTGATAGAAGAAAAAGTGCAATTAAGGAAAAAAGCCATGGCAACCAAAACACGAGAAGACATTGGAAACTACCAAGAGGCGTCTAAAAGAACCACATCCCGCCTAAACGAGATGAAGCGCGACTGTTGGCGCAACTTTACCTCAGAGATGTCCCTCTCGACTGACCCTCAACAAGTCTTCCGAGTCATAAATGCCATCTCAGGCAAGAAAACCCCCTCCACCGGCAGTGCACTCACAGAAAACAATAAAACCCTAAAAGGAGATAGAAGCAAGGCTGAAGCCTTTTGCCGTGAATACGCCTCAGTCAGCCGCCTAAAACTCGACAAGGCAGACAAACACCGGCACTACCAGCTTAATGAAAAACTTAAACTCCTCCCTATTGACCAGAACACAGGCTATGATTCTCTCCTCACCATGGCTGAACTGACAGTTTGTATAGGAAAGCTGAAAAACGGCAAATCTCCCGGGCTTGATGGTGTAACCAATGAGATGATCAAACACCTCGGACCCATCGCAAACTCTGCCCTGCTCCGTCTTTTCAACCTATCATGGGAAATGACCATTGTCCCAAACAGCTGGCGACGTGCCAAAATCATACCAATACCCAAGAAGAATAAGCCTGCAGGAAAGATTGGGTCCTACTGCCCCATCAGTCTCACCAGCTGCCTTGCTAAGCTGATGGAGACCCTCGTCAAGAACCGCCTGATGTTCTTTCTGGAGAGTAACAACTTGCTGAGCAACAACCAATCGGGCTTCCGCAAGTTACGGTCTACTGAAGACCAAGTCCTGTGCCTAACACAACATATCTCCGATGGATTCCAGGCTCGTCCCAAAATGAAACGAACTGTGCTGGCCCTCGTGGACTTCTCGCGTGCCTTCGACAAGGTATGGCGCACGAGGTTAATGGAGAAGATGATTGAGAAATCTACTCCCAGCCGCATCACCCAATGGATAGGTTCGTTCCTCAGAGACAGATACGCCTGCGTCGAGCACGGCAACACAACAAGCAGGCTTCGCCGTTTCGAGCAGGGAGTCCCCCAGGGCAGTGTCCTGTCCCCCACACTGTTCCTTGTCTTCATCGATGATATTGAAGCAGGCCTGCCTGAAACCGTGAAGACGGGACTTTATGCTGATGACTATACAATATACGCCACCAACGAAGACATAAATCAGGCTGAAAACAGTGTCCAAGCTGCCATAAACTTACTTGAGCAGTGGGCAAAGCAAAACAAGATGGAAATCAGTACGGAGAAAACAGAGTGCACCCTCTTCACTACCAGCACCCACGAGGCCAAGCGAAAACCAGGACTCTCACTCAAAGGCGCCCCCATCACCTTCAACTCCAACCCCACCTTACTTGGGGTTACACTTGATTGTACTCTATCCTCCAACGCCCACATCCAAAACCTTGAGTTAAAACTGTCAAGCAGACTTCGACCATTGAAAGCCCTTACAGGCACCACCTGGGGTGCCTCCAGGGAATGCATAAAGCCTATATATTATGCTACTTGTCGGTCAGCTATCGACTATTGTGCCCCTGCCTACATGCCTCTTGCTAAACCCTCCAATCTGCAGAAACTGGAAAGAAAGCAGAATGTAGCAGCAAGAATCATCACAGGCTGCTCAAAGGATACTCGTGTGGACAGCCTCCTCATCGAAGCAGACATTTTACCACTAAGGCATAGAGCTGATGCCTTGACTGCCATCTCATTCGAGAAGTCCATGCGTCTGCCTACAACGAACCAACGCAAAGCCTCCGCAACAAAATCAGTGCCCACGCGGACAGGCAAGTCGAACTGGAGAAAGCATGCCCAGAACCTCGTAGCCGAAACTGAACTGGATACGTACCCACGTGAGGAGCTGGTTGTTTTACCCCCCACACAACCGTGGAAGGCTGCATCATACAACGTGACTTTTAGCACCGATCTTGTCGCCGACTGCAAGCGTGCTAATGAACCAGCTGTCAGGAAAGCAGCAGCAGAGGCTACAATTTGTTCACTCACCCTGCCCGATGTAGAAGTCTGGACTGACGGTTCAGCTGAGCACGGTACTGAGTATGGAGGAAGTGGAATACTGATCAAGACCGGCGATACCGAACTCGAACAACATGTACCTGCGGGCCGGTATTGTTCCAGCTACAGGGCCGAGCTTGTAGCTCTCGACACAGCGCTTGACATGCTTGTGGCACTACATGCAGCAGGCAGCCTTCCGAACAGTGCACGCATCCATGTATACACTGATTCTAGATCAGCAGTCATGCGCCTCTCATACGGCCCTACCAACCAATCGGAAAAGGTGGCCTGCTCAATCTGGCAACATCTGCACACCCTCTGTCAACGCTCTGAATGTTCCATCCACTTACAGTGGATTCCAGGCCACGCCGGACTGGCTGGGAACGAGGAAGTTGACAGCATCGCCAAAGAAGCAACAGCGCTTACCCAGATTAACACGCCAATCGATTTCTCGACAGCTAAAGCCGTCATCCACCGATCGACCCGCGCAAAGTGGAAAAGAGAGGCGAAACCCAAACTGCCGTTTGCCCAGCCGCCGTCATTCCAGCTTGAGGCCTCGCTCAGACGACAGGACCGCCGGCTTCTCTCCCAAATGAGAACTGGTGGAAAATCGCCCAAGCTGAGATCATATCTCCACAAAATTGCGCCAGCAGACAACCCAGATCCGTCCTGTCGAGCCTGCAAGGAGGAGGACGAAACTATGGACCATGTGTTCCTGAGGTGTCCCGCCAGCTATCGTGCTAGAACCCGTCTGCTGGGACATTTCAGTAACCCACTTTCAGCACTTTTTAAGGACCCCCGGGCGAGTGTTGAGTTCCTGCGTGCTGTCGGCATCGCTGACCGCTTATGAAGCCACAGCGCCAGAAGAGAGAGAGAGAGAGAGAAGTTATACATGTTACACTTACAGTTTTTTTAGGAAACCTGGAAGGTGAATCTTAGGTAAAGTTAAGCTCATAACATTAAAAAAAAAAATTTGTTCTGTTAATAGGGCAGCGTCTGGTATTCAGAGAGGTGGAGGAGCTGGCAGAGGCAGGGGTGGCGTGCAGAAGATGATAAACAAATCTGCCCCGGGGAAGAAAGACCAGACTGAACATACCATAGTCACCCTGGATGACATCAAAAGTGAGTTGATGTCACAAGTTTTTGTGTCTTAATATAGAATGATAATAATAATAATAATAATAATAATAAATAGCATTTGTATAGGGCATATCCCAGCTCAACAGCAGGCTCTATGCGCTTTACACTATATTATAATATAATATAGAATGATTATTTGAAAACAGAAAACTCCATTTGTATAAAGGATTTGAAGAAAAGGACAGTGAGTCAATACGATGGAATTCCAAGGGATTGGTTGATATATAAGGATTAAAGTTAATGTTCAAAAGTCAAGTTTGAAGAAATTATTTTTCTATGGGCACCATGAGGTAATTTTTTTTCACTCTTTCTGTTTTGTTTACTAAGGGATATACTTATTTTATGAAGTATCTGTACTAAACAAAGGAAAGATTTTTTTTTTTTGGTAAGTGTTTTACAGCGCTCGCAACTGCATACGGTCATTGAGCGTGCAGGACACAATAACCATTTTCAGCTGGTAAGAAATTTTGAATTTTGCACGGGTGGCGGCCGAAGCCTACTCTTATCGATTTAGACAACCAAGGGATCTTTAATGTGTGCAAATTGCACATGGGACCTCCGAGATTTTTCATCCTTTTCCGAGAAGGGTAGGTGTAGATCTTTCCTACCAGAAGATCAGGGGTGTGGCTGAAAGACAACAGTAAGAAGGAGCCAAGGAGTAGCAGTGGAAAGGCTGCAGAAAGAGTCAGGAGCCCGGAGGAGGGGGCAAAGGAGGTGAGGGTGTGGGGGCAGAAAGTGGAGACGAAAGCAGATGTCAGAACATTGCTGTTGTTGTTGTTGTTGTTGTTGTTGTTTCCCCCCCCAAATAGACCCACCTCTTCGTGGTGGAGGGGGATTAATACTCTTCGAATAGGAAAAGAAAAAGAGGAAGCTAACGGGTCAAGGGGTGACCCCAAAAAGAGACATATTACTTTACTATGTTTCTTACTCTTTCTATTTATTGTCTTTATTATTTTACTTTATTACATTTATTAACTTTTCTTTTCTCCTCTCTCCATCGACAACTTTTCTTTTGACCTGGAGTTGGAACGGGTATTGGTGGGGTGGAAAGCAGAGGTTCATTGCCAGCACTGTACTGGATGTGACTTTACGTAGAGAATACCCAGCTACATACATGTATTAAGCATGCACTTATCGGAGAGCCCTTTGACTGCGGAGAAGGTGCAGAGACCATTTGCGTCTTGCTTGTTGACAACATTTACCCTCTGGGATCTGCCATGCCTTCCCCTGCCCCCATCTCTCGGATGAGAGGACTTGGTTGCTCGGGTAGGAGGGGGGGGGGGGGGAATCTAGCTTCCAATTGGTATTATTATTACTATTAGTATTATTATTATTATATTATAATTTTTGTATTTCAGCAACACACAACAACTATGCTCTTAATAGCGTCTTTCTCTTCTTTATCTCCTCAAACAACTTCTCAATATAATACAACAGACACCAACATACCCATTCATTTTTCTTACAATCTCTCTGTGATGGAGTTGGGTTTTTGTTTGTGGCATTGCACCTACAGCCACTGCTTTATCTCCTACCCCGGGATGGAAGGAAAATCACAGAACCATCAGTTTTAGATGCTATTCACAAATGATAGAATCCCATACGAGCTGAGACGCTGCCTCGGTAATCAAGGTCTCCCCCAGGTCTTAGTGGACAACCAAGCTGGCCTGGTGGATGGTTATTGGAAGAAAAAGAAAATCAGAAAGCAGAGAAAATGGAAAAACAAGAAGAAAACACCCCCTACAACTGGTAACGGAAAAGAGAAGCTTATAGACTTCAATATTCTTCAGGCAAATGTCTGTGGCTTAGACAAGAATAAAACACAATTGGGGAAAATTTTGTATGAAAGGAAAGTCCACATTGCTCTATTACAGGAAACTCTCCATTCATCCTGTGACATAAACATCACTTGGTATACCCCTTATCCATGTAAATGTGAAGGTTGCCAAGGGATTATAACCTATATCAGAAATGACATCCAGGGTGAAGTAGAGCTCCTTAATTGGCACCCCACAGACGCACATAAAGTCACCCTGTGGTATGGCAACAGCAAGCTCATACTTTATAACATCTATTGTCCCCCAAGTAGCACTCTGAACTTCTTGGAACAGAGCACTATCTTTAAGAAGACGGTCATAGCTGGTGACCTTAATGGACACTCCCCCCTTTGGGGCTATGCTGATCAAAACAACACAGGTAAGAGGATTGAAGAACTATGTCTGTCCTCTAACCTCATCCTTCTTCAAGATGAGGATTCAACCAAAACACTTCTTCACAGGAGACATGGGACCCTCCACAGACCAGATCTCACCCTGGTCTCTGCTGATTTACACAACAATTGCAGTGAAGAGGTGCTAGACTGTATATCTAGTGACCATCGTCCCGTTCTCACCAAAATCAGTATACTGAAGCACAGACAAAGGAAAAGAAGAACCCGTAGGAAAGGAGGTGAAAGGAAAAAATTTTAGAGAAGGTAATTTTTCGGTCGCTACCCGGATTCGAACATGGGACCTTTGAATGAGAGGCAAACACCTTAGCCTCTTGGCCACGACAGCCCCCAAAGATTTTTTTATTATCTGACTTAGAAGTTTAGATTTTTTAAAACTTTATTGTGAATGTCTTCTCATCCTTTTCTTTTTCACATGGATAGGCTATCAGTAAACCTGTATTGCCCAGATTTTCTTGTTGAGCTGAACTTTTTTAATGTTGTCCTTCTCCTTATTTCAGTTTTTCATCTAAAACTGACCCCCCTCTTACAGCGACCTGTCAAAGACAGTCATCTGTTAAAGCAACCACTCTCCACTTCCCCCCTTGCTTTGTTTGTACGTAATAATGACACTGTCCAAGATGTCGTACTACCGAAGACAACCGCTTTTCTCCTTGACAATGGATGGTCATCTTGGACAATTCAGCAGTACCTTCTCTGAGGACAGCCACTCATCATATCTGAACGATAGTCTCCCTTCCAGCAAGAGATTGGTGGGAGCTCTGAGAGTGGTGTGGTCTGCTCCTTCTTCATTATATATTGTTGGCCACTGTTCAGATGTGCAAAGTCCAAAATGTAAAAAAAATTCTTTTTTATTGCAGATCTTTAATCCATGGAATCTGTTGCACTTTCTCATGAAATATATGGCCAAAATTCAAATTCTAAAAGTCTAAAAAACCCAGGAAAAGATGCGTATAAAAGAATGAAACAGTATTTTCTATCTCCTGAAAAATTTTGCAATTTAGGCTTAGGACATTTGAACAGCTTGCCAGCAATACATTTCAAAATTTCATAATCTTGTTTCCCAGCAAAATGTGGATGCTGTCATGTTATCTTTCTGTGGTCTATCCCTCAGTAATGACATTGGTCTCTGTTTCCACCACCCTCACCTTCATGATATCCTCTCTCTATTAATTTGTTTTATGTGTGGAGGACACCCACCCTGATTGCCGTTCATCTATTTTCTTCTTCAGATGTGTCCTTGGAACGAATGTCAGAGGTGGATCAAATTCGAGATGATTTCTATAGCCTGTACAGGTAGGAAAAATACCGGACTCAATAAAATCATATTTGTCATGACATGGTGGAATCAGGGACTCATCAATTTTTGGGCATTTGGCATTATTGGTATAATCTTGAAGCCTGTCCTTTTTTTACTGTCTTACTAGAGAAGTCACCGAAGGCTTCTTTCCAATGATAGCTTGGTCACCAGCATACAAAATGTCTGATTATTTGACTAGTTTGTGAGCACAGAGTGCAGTATAAGTCAGGTGTAAAGTATTTTCAGTCAAAGACTGATGTACAGACGGGACACCTGCTTGAGATGTACTAATTGTCAGAGTTGAGCAAGCCGTGTATGGCTCCTCTTTCCACCTTTTTTTCTCTCTCTCCTCTTCCTTTCTTTTTTTCTTTCTTTTTTTGGTCCTTCCTTGATAGTTTCAAATCTCCTTTGGCTTCCTCACTCAGTCGAAATCCTTCTCCTGGCTAACTTGAACTCCAGAAGAACAGTTATGTGTATATATAGTACTTGCTTCACCATTGCACGGAGAAGGGCTGAACTTGATTCCTGTGAGGCAAGAATTTTTATTGAGTATCTCTGTCTTTCTGTTGGGACATTGTTGTATCCCTCTCAGCCCGGGTTGGTGTTGACAGGCAAGGTCGAAGTCTGCCTCATTAATGATCTAAGTTGTGTCAATGGAGATGTAAAAAAACGCCTACTTCATCAGAATATATATATTTTTTTAATGGAAAAGTATCTGTGGTCTTTTTATGTATATGTTTCTTTTTTTAAGGCATTTGAACAACAACAAAAAATCAGTATGATCAGTTGTCCAATTTTTAGATAAGTATATTGTATAAGAATGTAAGAATGATTCAGATGTTTGACAGTTTATAGTCTTGTTAGACTTTCAGAGAAATATAGTATGAACAATTATTTTTCGCTTTGTTTTCTGTATTTTAAAAAAAATGAGTAAAGTTTGTGATGCTTTCTCTCATGGGATTTGAGAACCTTTGCTTTTTTTTTCCTTCTGAATCTGTTATGGTCAAATTTGTTTATGTTAGTTCTAATGCATGAAACATTTGGGTATTGCAGACGTGAGCAGTTTGATTTCTTCCTCCTGTACCTTCTGAGCTACTTCAACTGTTTTTTCAACAAAATGACTCTTGAAAACAAGAAGAATCCCATGTACATGTAAGTATCAATTGTACTGCAGAATACATATTATGTACGAGGTGGTTCTTTTTGGCTAATTACCCTTTTGGATATTTTTGGCTCTTTTCTTCCTTTGATGTTGCAGTTTTCTAATCCAGATTTTCTAACCCAGTTTGAATGTGAACTGACATTTCTGTCTCTACCATATGATTTTGATGTTTGAAGCACAGACTCTCTCCAGCAAAGTTCCACGATCAAAGTCTGACCTATTTTAACTTCCAATCATGATCTTTTTGTCTCTTTTATTATAATTACTATTTCTCTCCTCTTACTCTTATCAATTGTGAACTTGAATGCAAAGTTTATGAAAAAGAAGAAAACATTGTGATCATGGACAAATTACATATGGTCTCAACTAAACAATATTAAATTGGTCATAATCTTTGGCATTGTTTCATCCTTTGTCGCTCAGAAAACTAGAGAAACCTGAAAGACTTTTTCCATTTGAGGAGGGAGCTTAATTCAGATATTTAAAAAGAATTGCTCTGTTTATTTAGAAGATGACATGTAACCAATCAACCCTTGATTTGGATAAATTTTGTAAAGTCACCATTGATTTATTATTGAAGATTTTTCTTTTTAATCCTCATGAATTTAATCTGGATTTGAACATCATTAAATTCATTCTTAACCCTTTGAACCCCCTGTACTGAAATATGAGTATGAACGCAATTTTGCAGATATCATAGGACACTGAAATATCGGTATGACACACCCACCTAAATATGATGTGTCTTTACAGAAATAAAACACAAATACAAAACAGCAGCATCAATGTACATCAGCACAGTGATATGTGAGTGTGCATGGTGAAAGGTACCAAAAGACGCATTTGCTTGAACCGAGATATCAGGCTTTAAAGGTCAAAAATAGAATTTTTGACAAGAACTAACTTCCATTAAAAATGGATTCTTTAGCCATTCATATATCAATATTTACAAGAACTTGAATTTCTTTTACTTTAAAATACATAAATTTAGGTCATTCACTCCCCTTTCTAGTGGCGGGTAGTGCGCATGAATATCTAGAACTTGTACACAAGCGAAGCTTTGCGCATCCGCACTCTTTCGCTTTTTTGAAGAGCAAACTTGTACATGTATAGCTTTTTTCTGTCCTGCACAAACCTAGCCTAGATCTATTTCTTGAAAATTCTTGCTCAAGGTGATGGGGAACTTGTTTTGAAGACTTCTTAATAGAGACACTTTGAAGCTGTTCTTTTGCCTTAGCTGCTTTTGAAAGTTGGTTTGTGAGTAGCGAATGTGTTGTCAGGATGTCTCGAAGCATAGATCTATCTATTCAAAGCAGAAACAAAGGGAAACTTAAAGCTGTTTTTCTCAAAACTTTGTTTCCGTACCACGCCTTACAAAATCACCCATATCTCAAAAACTACTGAAGATATCTTAAAATTTCAAAGCCCATATTGTTTAAAAAAGATCTATGTACATGAAAATGCAAAAAAAACGGGATTCTTCAAAATGCGTCATTTGGTACCTTTCAGCAGGCACACACACATGTTACAGCAGAAAAAAATGAGATAAATAGATAAGATCAACACAATTATGAGCTGTAGAAAAGTATACTTAAAAAAGCAATGAAATTACTCAGGAGCCCAGGATATAGAGTATTTAAGAGCCCAGGGTGCAAAAGGTTAAGATTCTGAAGAAGGTCTTGTTTTTTTTTTCTTTAAAAATATTGATAATTATTTCTCAGACGCTGGTGCTTATATATATATTGTGTCTCCATTAAGATACCGAAATTTACATCCTCTTTCTCTAATAAATGGACATGATAATTTGAGCCCATGTATTCTTGATCTGTTTACTATTTTCAGATACATATTATAGTTTGGTTAAACATGTCTTCCTTCACTTTAACAAAACTGACCAGGCACTATTCATACCTGATCCTTCCACATTCTCTATCCATCACATCCCCTGACTTTGTGCTATGTGTTGTGCCCTAAAGTACATTTCAGAATATTTATTCATCGTGAATGAGAAATTAATTTAGAACAATTTTCCAATTTATTAATTAAGTTTACTGTTGGTTAATGATTTTTAATGCTGTATCAGTCTGGCTCAATTTATTTTTATCCCAGCTTAATTCTTCGCTTATGCTTCATATTATTATCTATTATTAATCTGTTAAAAAAAAAGCAATTTTTTGCCAATCATATATCTACGTTGCCTCCGAGCCATGAAGATAGGTTGTTTGTCAGTTGCATATGAAAGAGGATTTCTTTTAATTCAGGAAAGTAATTGAAGTGTTTCCTCCTATCATTCGGTAAGTGAAGAGGACCACTTAGATGATTCATGGTGTGAATATATCTGCCTATTTGACATTGTGTTCTTGATGATCTATTGTTTGTTTGTGTGTGATACAGAATAAGTTAATGACTTTTGTTTTGTTTTTTCTATCGCAAATACATGGTTGTCCCTAAGACTGTAAAGCATTCTTGTATCTGTACTTTCTCTTACTTTGATTTTAAAAGGAAACGTAGTTTTTGGTACTTGCTATCTCAAGAGATAAAAATTCATGTCAACTAAAATTAGAATAAAGCAACTGTACACTGTACAATGATCAGGGAACTTACATTTTGTTTACCAGAAATTTCTCCACTTTGATATCTTTCTGAGAGTCTAAGAGTTGAGTTTTATTTACTTTGGTCAACAACAGGTGTCTCCATCAGTCATTAGTGTTAGCGCAGAATTTACAGGGCATAGATGACAAGCATTACCTAGTTTGCTTTGGGCAGTCACTGTTTAGTCCTCCTCTTTGAAAGTGCAGATATTAGAAAGTGTCGTAGGGAGGTCTCGTAATCACCATGCTTTAATGAGTGTCATTGAAACTCTTGCAGTGAGGCAGTGTATTTTGTTAGGTGGTGTGCTGTCATATATAATCACATTATTGTGTTTTCATCCTAACAGCAAGTTGATCAATTTTCACTAGTTCAGTGTGGCAGGTTTATCCGCTGGTCTGTTTTCGGCTGATTGTAATGATACAGGCTGTCCTTTATTACAAGCAGCTTCAAAAAATTGTTTTTAAAAATCTTTTTTTGTTTTTTTATTTATAGAACTGCCTTTTTATGGATTTTTGTCCTTTAAGAACATAGTTTTGAGATTGTGTATCTGGTGTAGGGTCTAAAAAGCACCTGGAAGATGATCAGTTGAATATGACAGCCCCAGTACTATATGTTCATGTATTTTTTGGGGTAATCCACCCCTCCCCTTCCTTTCCTGGAGTTAGGGGGAGGGGGGGAGTAGATACTCTCTGTTTTATGAAATGTGACAGTTATGATCTGTGAAAGATAGAACAGAATATCCTGTTCTCAAATTTTGCCGCTCTCAGTTCGTGATGACCAGTTGATTTTTAAGATGTTTTTTATTCAGAGGTATACTTGCATTGGCTGGCATATTAGTATAATGTAATCTATCGTGGATTTTATCGGAAATGGAATAAAGTTGATGCAAAGTAAGGCAGGCTAATTGTATAAATTTTGATTAGGCGTAGAGCAAAAATCACTACATAGCAATAGAGCTCTGTAAAATGACGATATGTTGAAATTCTGTGAAACTTGAAATGAAAACTGCTGCAGCATTCTTAAGTTACAAGCTTTGAAGAGGTGGTCTCTCACATTTGTAAAGTTCCACTCACTTGAAGAATGTACTGGTTTCTGCTTTTGTCAAAATATTCACTTTGCCGTGAGTGACTCGTCAACACTGTAAACTCACTGCAGTACATTATATTGTCTCTAGCAGAAATGATCAAAGTTAATGTGAATTGTGAATTTATGCTTGTTTGGAGGATTTTTGCTGAAAAAAGGCTCAATGAAAACAACTAATTCAGATACACAGCTTGTGGTGTGGCCGTAGCAGCTGAATTTCCTAAGTTGTGTTCCTCACTGTGTGGAGGTATTTGTTACGACTGATGTGGTACTTGATTTTGTTGCGAATCTGTTTAGTCATAAGGTGGTGATCGTGCAAAATGCTAAAAATATTAATGCAAAATGTCATAGTTCAGCAAGCTATATACCAAAAGTGTCACAGCTTTATTTAGATAAGCAGCCAGTTGATGGTCTCTGTATCTTTTGCCTCACTACTTTACGATAGTGAACTCATTAGGGCTTCATATTTGATTTACACCGTCACGTGGGGTGCTGATCATAGATGTGATTACAGCACTGAATATGTACACTGTGGGGCATTATCTTTTCAACTTGTTAATAAGTAATATGTTGTTTATGTATACACATGTATTGTACTCTTCTGTGTTGTCATATATTTATTGGCTCATGAATGTTGACATAAGTTTGGGCTCATGATAAAATGTTTTTTTTTTTTGCAGTTTGTAAAAGATGATGCTCAAAATTTTGTTTTAGATATTTAAGAGTGTCTTATTCTTTTGATGTGTGTTCAAAATAGAAGCGAGAGAAATATTTGTACAGTGATGATGAACTGGAAAAGAAATAGAGTGTAGAATATCTAGAGTAGAAATATCATCTAAATATTTTCAGTCTTCTTTTAACAATTGAGAATGTAAGGTATCATTATGATGTTAACCGTTCGTCATTTATGCAAAGTCTGGTATCCTTTAAACAGAAGGAGTAAAAACTCTTTGGTTTTAAGAATATTTCTTAACATAAAAACTTTACAGCTTGTTTGATATATGTACACTAGTTTCACTTCAAATACATGACAGCTGGAAAAGTTACTATAGCCCCTTTTTGGGTCCCACAGGTCAGGCGGCATCTGAGCTCTTACTTAGTTCACGACTGCAGAAATATATAGCGATTCTCAAAAAATGTTATATTTTACCATTGCATTTTTTCTTGCTGATATGGGGCTGAAGCTTTCAGTACATATTCAAGATTTTAAAAAATTGTTTTATGCTTTCTTTGGTGGGTGGTTGGTAGGCACTCTGGTGTGGTTTGCTCCTTCTTTCTTATCGAACAACCATCGTCCTTATCTCTCCTTCTTATTTACTTTCTATGTTAATGTCTAGTAACTCCTATATTCTCTGGCACTTATATGACCTAATTTTGTTGCAAGTGCAGGAAAACTAGAAAACTCTTGCTAAAACTAAACTAAAGCAATGTTCTTAGTCTTATTCCTTGAGATGCCTGAAGGAAAGGGTGTCAATGTGGAATTATTGCAATACCGGTTCACAAACTGCATTTTGTTTTGTTCAAAGATGTTAATATGATAAAGCCTTCTCTATGCATGATTAAACTGATTTCAGAAAGTGTTGATTATATTAGATACAGGGTTTTTTAAATTCTTTTTTTTTCCAGAATTTGTTGCAGAAATCTGAACAAAAGTAACATAATTTGTCAAATGTATTATATTTGCTGATTTTTACTCAAGACAATTTTGTAAGTGTGAGAAGCACATATGCACATACAAACTCTCTCGGAGAAAAAGAGAGAGAGAGAGAGAATGAGAGAATGAGAGAGAGAGAGAGAATGAGAGAGAGAGAGAGAATGAGAGATAAAGAGAACGAGAGAGAGAGAGAGAGAGAAAGGTGGGGGGGGGGGGGGGGGGGGGGCTGTGTGTTTACATCTGATGTCTGATGACTTTATTTATTTAATCATTTGTAGCTTGTAATCTGTGTCTTCATAGATGTGAGCCCCTTTAAAAGTTTTTGTTTGTAGGCTCTTTGATCCGACAGTGAAAGTTTCCAAATCTCATCATTTTTGCACTGCATTATAAATGCATGTGAGGCCTATGCACAAGGCTGTTTCATAGTGTAGAATTGTATTGGCTGTTAAACGCAACAGACTCCTATAGCTAATATTGTCATTTTACTCCCTCCGTACATGCATCTATACTACATGTATCGACATATTCCAATAACTGAATATTTTGGGGTAAGTTTATCCATCAATAATGAAAGGTAGAATAGCAGAATGTATTCACACGTGTGTGCAGTCACAGCTTGTGAGAGTTAATTTCACGGAGTGATTACTGTGCCAATTAACGATTATCATGTTTATTACAGAAAGTCCTCAAGATTATGATGATGATGCTCTTTTAGACAGTGATTTTATTGGTATGGGCATAAGTAAAATATAATGTTAGAGTGTTGATAGGGTGTTAAACCCATACTCTCACTTATTTATTTACTAAAGAAGTTTTGGTGTTGTGGTAAAGGTCTTCATCTGGCATACAAAAAACATAAGTTCAGTTCTAATGCATGGAAAATGTTTTTATTCAAAATCCCACTACCTTAGCCCACAACCCTACCCAAGTTGGCTCATAGAGGCACAGGTATAGTAGCCCATTGCCTAATCTTAAGGAATCCTAATTGTGCTGATGGTGGTGTAAAATGTGTATAGCAATTAAGCCTTAAACTTAAAGTTCAGTGAGATGTTCATGGGATACCAATGGGGTGCTAATTCTGTCGGGCTATCTTTTGGTATCTTAACCTGACCATAATGGCCCTTTCCAATACGGCCACAGTCAGTCATCTTCACTATGAGTGGGCCTAATTTGTTCATGATAGCAGTAACTTGCAGCGACAATTTTCTGCCAATCCATTCTCAGACTGAGTGTGCACTTCAAACAATTTGAAGAAGCTCTTATGATAGATAACAATTTTGATGGAAATGAAATGGAAAGGTAGAATTTAGGTTTCTGCTTTTAAAACCTCCTGTTGACTTTGTCAAGTCTAGTAAGTGACCACAACTCAGACCTTATCTATAATTGTCACTTTTTTCTGTGATCTCGAGTGACCATTATAAACATGTTCGACTGTATTGCATACATGGTTCCACAATCAACAGTTTCAAACTTGTTCCTCTGCTGCTTCTGTCTGTCAGTCTTGCTTTTTTCAATCCCCAACTAAAGGCCAGTGTGTACATGTGATTTTCTTTACGTTGACTAGTTTCAAACTTCTTGTTCTCACACTTCATGATCCCATAAGTTTTTGAAACTAGAAAGCAGTCAAGTTTAGGTTTTTTTAATTGTGGTTTGAGTGTAGTTTCTTTTTAAGGAGCAAGTGTTGACTTCCTGCTTGCTGTGGGCATTGCTGACTGTTTAGGATGCCACAACGCCAGAAGAGAGAGAGTGTAATTTCCTTGACAAAAAAAAAAGAAAAAAAAGAAAACTTATGACTTGCTTAAATATTTCAGATAAAATCCTCAGGTTTCCTAGATCCAGTGGGACACCATTGTGGCAGGATAACTTTCAGCCCTGATTTAGTTTGCTCAACTTGTTTGCAATCCCATTTGTTATAGCTCCTGACAATGCTTTATAAATAATGGTAGCTTTGTTTTTACATTCTACTGTTTTTACTAATTATTTCAAGTAATTGATCATGTGACGTATACAAGAAATCAGCCTCACTTGTTTTCTCTTTTGTCTCTTGAATTGTTCTTTATACTTTAATTTATAAAAATATTTATTGAAAGTTGAAACTTAACCCTACAAGACATAAATTAAAGCCTGCCATTATGAAAACAGAACCGTACATTGGGCCAAGGGCATGCATTTCACAGCCCTGGGAAAATGAAAAAATCTGGAAGTCATATTTGCTTACATATTTGTTAGCCAACTGAATAACAGTGAATCATGAAGAAGTTTCAAATTATTATCGATTTTTAAGTTCAATGAAAAAGACACATAATGTACATACATAAATCCTTTTTGGGGTTCAATTTTCTGGTGGTCACTGATGAATGTACGTGGAGTGTCATATGTGTCTTGGTTAATGTTAAGTCAGACAATTACATATAAATTATATTGATCACCGCTTGTCCACCTGCGAATTTGCTTTTTTTCACTCTCTAAACTAAAAAAAATTAAGTTATATTGTGTGAACTTAGATTAATTCTTAGAGGTTAAATTCTTTCAACATTTGTGGGGTTTTTTTGGTTGTTTTTTTTTTTTTTCAATACAATTTAGACTCTACCTTCTCTTCCAGTGGGTGGTTGGTGGGTGCTCTGGTGTGGTTTACTCCATTTTTCTTATAAAACATCTACCTTCCCTATCTCTCCTCCATTTTTATGTTTCTTACTCTCCTGTAACACTTCTAATCTTCGGAACTTATAGGACCTTATTGTGTTGCAAGTGCCGTAAAACTCTTACCAAAACTAAACTTCTCTGCCAGTTCTTGCCACTGTAGACTCTGGGTATGCATGCAGAGGTTCAAGGTTCAAATTTGGGGGAGAGGTCGCAATCTCTCTTGCTTGTTCTGAAATATTTTTCACCTTCAACAGATGTCACTCAGAGGGACCAAGTGACTTGCAACAAAATTACCTGAATAAACTTCCCTACTTTCACTTTATTGTGTTTTGACCTAGGTTTAGTGTGGATCCTGCTGGTCACGGATGGATGTGCTAGTAGAGTGCTGCATGCGTTATTTTTCTTATGAGGATGATAATCTTTATTATCTATATGTGTATATGTGTATGAACTTGCATTTTGTTGCTTTGTTAATTCATTATGATTATTAATTAATAGTCTTTTTGCTAAAAAAATAATATTACATGTGCTTTTGTATGTTTGAAAGAACACATTTATTTTTACGTCTTTGAGTAGCTTCTTATATACACCTCTTTTAGCTTTGATCTCGGTTATATGGGACTATGGCCAATGTGGTGTAGCGATTAGACTCTGTACCATCCCATGCAGAAGATATGAAGTTGATTCCTGTGTGGGGAGAATTTTTAGAGTGTGTTAATCTTTCTGTGGTGAGGTATCCCTCTCAGCCCGTGGGTGGTTGGCGGGTGGTCTGGCATGATTTGCTCTTCTGGTGTGGTTTGCCCTTTTTCTTCTTTCCAATCAAACATCTATCGTCCTTATCTCTCCTCCTTCTTTTTTGTGTTTGTTACTCTCTTGTGACACCTCTAATCTTCGGCACTTACTTGACCATATTGTGTTGCAAGTGCCGTAAAACACTTACTAAAACTAAACCTTTCAGCCCAGGTTGGCCTTAACAGACAAGGTCAAGGCAACTAGCATTCTAATTTATGTTAATGGTGTTGATGGGGGCGTAAAACTTCTTTAATTACATTTTTATGTTGACTCAGGGATGTACATATAAGCATGTATATATCCACAACAACACCAGTATATTTTAAAGTTATTTGTACTTTTTTTCTCATTTTTTAATTTCTCAACCATAGACATGTATATGATGGTACAGCTAATATGCAGCTCTTGTCTTACTGTGTTTTATGATGTTGCTGAAAATGTGAAAGGATGAACTCTCCAATGTCACTGTCAATACGGTTTGTGCCTTGCAGTTTCCTCTCCTGATTTGCGTTTAGCTTGAAGGGAGGAGGAAGATGCTGGGTGCCGGTTAAAATGCTCTTGCCATTATATTCCAAGACTTTTCTTTCAGTTCATTTAGTCCATCTTTTTATATATACCATAGAGACCTTCCTTGTTCCAATAAAGTCTAATTTCCTACATAAATGAAAAGAAAAAAGCACTGTGAATGCATTTACAGTGATTTTGTTTTTTAATGTTAAATTCTGATGTTTTTATTGATTCTGCTTTTCAAAATATCAGCCTCATTTTTTTTACAAAGATTGTATAAGGTTTACTTCTTCGCATTTCAGTGAACCCAGTGTCTCAGAGAAGATAGAATATGCCGAGTCATGCGAGCGCCTGAGTGTGGCCCAGAAGCTTTTGGGTCGTGCCTACTGCATCTTGGTCCTTGGCCTTGGTTTGGAAGAGCAGCATCACATGGAATGTGGCATGTGAGTGAGACATTTTATTTGGACTTTCTGTCCTTTCTGACTTGCATTTTTTTATATTCATTGTTTGTTCCCTTTAATTAGAGCTTTTACAGCTGCCTTCCTTTTGGTTATGTGTTATATAGCATGGTGCTCTACTCTATTGTATCTGATAAGTAAAGTGTACATGTATAGTGAACTATTTCTCTTTTCCATCCCCCCTCCCGCATGTACATGCACACTCATGTACACACACACAAAAACACACACACATACACTCACATACACATACCCACTCACACAAACATGCACCACACACAAACATGCACCACACACAAACACACACACGCACACGCACACACACACACACACACACACACGCACACACACATACACGCACACGCGCACACGCACACGCACACGCACACACACACACACACACACACACACACACACACACACACACACACACACACACACACACACACACACACTATACTTCTGTTTTCCCCTGACGGAAACATAATTTTGAAGGTGGATTTTTTTTGGTTTGAAAAAAGAATGACAGCAAAAAGAGAAGGAAAAAAGAAGGTCAAGACATGCCAAAGTACATAGCACACCACAATCATACTTGTGTCACAACATGGTGGAATCTGGCGGTTGTCAATTTTTGAGCACATAGAGTTATTGGTATAATCTTAAAGCTTGTTTATTTGTCTTGCTTTGGATGAAAATAATAATGTCTGGCTTTTGTGTTTGAGCAACAAACTTATTATTTATTTAATGGTATTTCACTATTCTTTCTGGTTTTTAGTGGGCCTTTGAGCTTCCTGACAATTCTGTTCTCCTCAAGCTTTCTGGAAGGGATTTTGTGTAAGAGAAAGGACAAAAACATGACCATATCAACATGCTCTTTCCCCAGGTCTCGTGTTTCCAAGACTCATACAGATCGCAGTAGGTTTGAGGTAGGAAGAGTTGTTATGATGTTATGATTTGAGTATTCAAAGCTCATCCGGAAATGATTTTAATTTTTGTGCTATGTAAACAATTGAAGGGCCTGACCTGAACACATAAATGATACATCACAGATCCGCAACCTTTTGGTATGTCATAGGTGCTTTGAGATGAAGTTAAATTAATGACACTAGTTTGTAGAGGAATGTATGAATTGTGTAAACAAGTAAACAGGGGTAGGTTTACCCTGTGTGGAAAGAGCAAGAGCATTTTATGAGAGTGTTATAATCCCTTTGCCCTGTTCCTTACACAACAGTTATTCATTTTTTAAAAACCAAAATAATTTTTCTCTATTGTACTTGGAATTTAATTGTACTGTAACTGAATTTGATAATACAGTCAAACCTGTGTAAGACGGCCACCCATTGTCAAGGAGAAAAGTGGCCGTTTAAGACAGGTGGCCGTCTTAGGCAGGACTGATCAAGATGAAGAAAACAAACCATTCCTATTTGAAGTCCCAATCGAAAGTAGCCGCATTGTTGTTGTTTTTGTTATTGTTGGTATGTATTTTGTTTGTTATTTTTATTTTGTTGCTGTTTTGCGCAAGGGTGACAATAAAACGAAATGTATCAGACAAGGAAGACCCAGTGCCATGTTAAAACAAACACATGGGTCGCTGCCACTCGGAGAGCGAGCGACGCTTCTGTCGCAACTTCATGTTGACGTCCATTGTTCATTGTTACTTTGTTACAACTGGGTAAACAGTGACCACTCATCTCACTTACGATTTGTGTATGAGTTCTGGACGGGGCTTACGGGTTATGAGGGATCACACGCTTACATCACCTGCAGCTGAAAATTGGTACCTATTGGTCAACAGTGGGAGGGGCCTACGCAACATGATTTGTTGGAGGGACTACCTAACAATAACGACAGGTGATTGAATTATGACGGCTGGCCCACAACGCCAGGGGCCAATGCACAATTTACGACAAAACGTAATGGAGTCACTAAGGTGGCCGTCTAAGACAGGTGTTATTGCTTAGTGTGATAGGGGTTGTGTGTTAAAATATGGTGGCCGCGGCCGCGTTGGACAGGTGCCCGTTTTACACAGTTAAAAAATATAGAAAAAACGCAAGGGGGGAAATGGAAAGTGGCCGTTTGTACAGGGGGCCATCTTATAGAGGTGGCCGTCAGGGCAGGCTCGACTGTAGTTACATTGTGGTATTCATTCATTCCTAGTACATGTTTCAATTTCTGAATGTCAGGTTTTTCAAACACAGTTGAAATTGTCTAAGACAGCCACCCATTGTTGGGGAGAAAAGTGGACTGTCTTAGTGTCATTATAGTAGAACAAACTGCAAGTGGGGAGGGGGATGGGAAGAGGCCGTTTGTACAGGTGATTGTATTATACAGGTGGCCGTTAGGGCAGGTTTGACTGAAGTTTTCTACAGATTGTTTCAAAACATGTATTTAAATGTAATTATAGCCTTGCTTTTAAAGGTCATGATAGTTCATCCATTACAGACCTGATATTGTTACCTACTTTCAAACTGACTACTGTTTGTGTGCTGTACTTTCAGACTTTCTACAGCTTCTGCACTTTTGTTGTGTGGATAACTTTTAGAAGAAAGGAGTTTGAATGTATCAAGAAGGAAATTGGCAGGTAGTTTACTTTTATTGCGTCTCATTTTGGTGACTACTTTTTAACACCTATTAATTTCATATTATCCCCTGTCATCTTCTCTTTTTTTCATGTCTTTCTTATCTCTTGCTGCTGTAGCAGAATGTTGTTAGTTAGGAAATCCTGTGATGTCACAGAAGCTGTTTTCACATATAGTTTGGGCAAAATTACTTGAGACTCTGTTGAATTATTGTCAACTTTCTAATTTTTGTTCTTTTTTTTTTTTCAAAGTGTGGCCACCTGTGTTTATGGTTCAATTGATAGACTCTTTGATATACTCTGAACGGGGAAGCTCAAGTCCCACGAAGAGAATGTTTTTAATTAAGCCTCTCCTTCTTTCTGCTTGAATGTATTTCAATAGCCTAGGTTAGGCTGTGTTGAAGCAGTCATCCTCCTAAATGATCTAAACAATGTCAAGTCAGTGGGAATGTAAAACGTGGGTGGTTGGCGGGTGCTCTGGTGTGGTTTGCTCCTTCTTTCCCATCAAACATCTATCGTCCTTATCTCCCCCTCCTTCTTTTTTATGTTTGTTACTCTCTTGTAACACCTCTAATCTTCTGGCACTCATATGACCTTATGCAGTTGCGAGCGCCGTAAAATCTCTACTAGACTAGAATGTAAAACATGAACAATAAAGTGTACAACTATACAGGTATTGTCACTTATCTTTTTTAATTTTCCAAGGTTCTCTGATAATTTTTTTCTTTAAGGAAAGCAACCTTATGAATCATTTATGTCTTCTGAAGTATATTCTTCATTGTGAGTTTGCACATTAATAGACAAGTGTATATTGATAAACTTACTTCTTACTTTCTACAGAATCCTGCGATCTGACACATTTAACCCTGCGATCCGTGTGAAATATGCACCTGAAGGTAATAATATATGAGATAACGAGTGGTTAGTGAGATCAAGCTTACAAATATGTCAAGCATAATTTGTTGACATGACATTTAGGTATGTGGTTTCTGATGTATGTCTTTCTTTAGAACACTTTAATCATAGGTCAAAAACAGGGCATATTCTCATCCAACAATGCCGTGTTTGTAAGATTGTCTGTATTAGTGTGATAACATTTATAATGTGATAGTGATGGATTATTTTGTATAAATGTGTTGTATTTGTCAAGGCCATCTGAACCAAAGAAATTCTCATCTTCTGTCTACAAGATGTTAAATTTTGCCAACAGTTAATTGAAGAAACGCTGCCAGAATTGTAGCTGAACTTATATAGGATAACGCAAAGGTGTAAAAATCAATATGTTTTGTACTGTGAGCATAAGAGTGTACAGATCCTGAGATTCTAAAAGCGGAAAGAAGGAGCCGAAACTGAACTGGATACGTACCCACGTGAGGAGCTGGTTGTTTTACCCCCCACACAACCGTGGAAGGCTGCATCATACAACGTGACTTTTAGCACCGATCTTGTCGCCGACTGCAAGCGTGCTAATGAACCAGCTGTCAGGAAAGCAGCAGCAGAGGCTACAATTCGTTCGCTCCCCCTGCCCGATGTAGAAGTCTGGACTGACGGTTCAGCTGAGCACGGTACTGAGTATGGAGGAAGTGGAATACTGATCAAGACCGGCGATACCGAACTCGACCAACGTGTACCTGCGGGCCGGTATTGTTCCAGCTACAGGGCCGAGCTTGTAGCTCTCGACACAGCGCTTGACATGCTTGTGGCACTACATACAGCAGGCAGCCTTCCGAACAGTGCACGCATCCATGTATACACTGATTCTAGATCAGCAGTCATGCGCCTCTCATACGGCCCTACCAACCAATCGGAAAAGGTGGCCTGCTCAATCTGGCAACATCTGCACACCCTCTGTCAACGCTCTGAATGTTCCATCCACTTACAGTGGATTCCAGGCCACGCCGGACTGGCTGGGAACGAGGAAGTTGACAGCATCGCCAAAGAAGCAACAGCGCTTACCCAGATTGACACGCCAATCGATTTCTCGACAGCTAAAGCCGTCATCCACCGATCGACCCGCGCAAAGTGGAAAAGAGAGGCGAAACCCAAACTGCCGTTTGCCCAGCCCCCGTCATTCCAGCTTGAGGCCTCGCTCAGACGACAGGACCGCCGGCTTCTCTCCCAAATGAGAACTGGTGGAAAATCGCCCAAGCTGAGATCATATCTCCACAAAATTGCGCCAGCAGACAACCCAGATCCGTCCTGTCGAGCCTGCAAGGAGGAGGACGAAACTATGGACCATGTGTTCCTGAGGTGTCCCGCCAGCTATCGTGCTAGAACCCGTCTGCTGGGACATTTCAGTAACCCACTTTCAGCACTTTTTAAGGACCCCCGGGCGAGTGTTGAGTTCCTGCGTGCTGTCAGCATCGCTGACCGCTTATGAAGCCACAGCGCCAGAAGAGAGAGAGAGAGAGGGGGAAAGAAGGAGGTGGAGGGGCTAATTAGGAAAGTGAGTTTTCATCTGTATGTCTTTGCTTGCCCATGTCCATGTTGTATCCGCATGAGTGGAATGACAGGTCTCTACATTTTTTTACTTTTGCTTTACCTATAGAGCCTAAAGGGCAAGACCCTACCAAAGCCCCCAAAAAGCCAAATGAAGCAGAGGAGGAGAAAAAGGAGCCAGAGGAGGAGAAGAAGTTGACTCCTGCAGAGTATCGACGTCTCCACCCGTAAGTTGAATGCTTGTCATAGCCTTGAGCATCAACATTCTCCAGTGACACAAACAAATTTTGAGTAATAGACTAAATTAGTGGCTGACATGCCTGCTAGTTTTCAATTGAACAAAAATGTTTCAAATGACTTTAATTCAATTGAAATTCCTTTTGATGTTTTATCTGAATAAATTATCATACAAAAGTTTTGCAGAAACAAAACAAAAATAAGCAAAGGACATACAATATATGAAGTGCCCCTTTCTTCTGATGTTTGAAATAATGGTATGCAGTAGAAGCATGTGACAGGAACTGAGTTTTTTTTAAGAACGTGATGCCCACTCTCTTAGTCTGTCCCCGTGGTTTTATGCACCCCGCATAATTTGGCAAAATTTGATCGTTTTGCATAATTTCTGATTATTTTCCTTTATCATTCAGTGTTAAAATTAACAGAATCGCACAATTTCACATTTTTGGGCTCAGTTTGCATAATTTCAGGGGGTTTTTTTTGGGATAAAACCGCGGGGACAGCTTAGTTTGTATATTTTTTTCATGAGCTATTTCGAAGAACGTCTTGCAGCTTTGATTTTTAAGTTTGCATAAACTAATGATTGAATATACCATAGGTTGAAAATAGGGAATTGTTTCTTTTGAAATATTCATGAAACCTCTCTTAAATTGCTCATTGTAACACTTTGCATGCGGAATCCACTAACTTTCTGTCTCCTCTACAGGAAAAGACCAGCGATCAAATCTATCATCAAGTAAGTTTTATCACAGCTTTTGTACATTATAAAAGTGTTGGGTAGTTATCTTTATCCTTAAAAAGTTTTGATTTTATGTTTTAAAAAAAGTGTGCAAAGTGTTAATTTAATTTTCATGTATGGTATGTTATATTTATATGTTTTCTGTCATTCTGAAGTTTTTGTGTTGAATGCTCCTTGTGTCTTATCATCGAAAACAATTTTTTAAATGCCTTACAAGGCTCACTATTGTAGAGAAAAAGTAATTGAAAACTCTTGATTGTCTACAGAGTTACTTTGGTTCAATGAATGTCTGTTATTTTGATTAAACTAAGATTTTACAGTTATATAAATATATCATAATCTCTTGTGCATGTTGATTTTTTTCAGTCAAAGATCGCCAGCCATAGTTGCCATTCTGCCATCTCCGAAAGAGGAATCTGCCAGGCTCTTTAAACGACCTCAGTTCACTTCAGGAGAGTGAGTTCTTCTACTTTCCCTCAAAAGTGTAGGGTTTCCATGTCATTTTACAGCACCTCACCTTGGATTGTACTTCAGTTTAACTCCTAGATGCTAATATATTTTGTTCTAGTTTAACTCATAAATGCTAATATTATATATAACTTCAAATTACAATTTAACCTGAGAAGTAAAGTTAGATTAGAAGTAAAGCTCTCCTCAACATTCAGTGGAATATATTCTGTTATCTATTTGTGGTGGCCGAATTTTGCTATTCAAAAGGCTTTTTAATGGCTGCATCGATCGACATGCGGTTTTCGCGAAAAGATTCTTAAAAATATTCTCCGGATCATGACGCCCTTCGTTTTTTCATTTTTAAGACAGTTTTGCTGCAAAAGCCAAATTTCTTTATTTTTCCGATCGCTTTTGTAGGTCGACGCTTCTGTCTTTGTAATTTTAGAAAATCTGCCAGGTTTGTTTATTTCAAGTCGTTCTTCCGTTCGATACTATTGTGCATTGTCGCGCAATACTGAGCACTATTTTGAGTGTGCGACCCGTATAGATCTAGCCTCATGGTTTCTTTTTTTACCAATGACTTTCAGTTGATGTTAACCCACCTATCATTCCTTTCATCAAAAGGGGGCCCAGCTAGTATTATATAATTCTACATGATGCTAGGGATGGACATTAGTCTGTGGTTAGATTACAGTAACCATGACGAAAAATCCTTTGAAATATTATTTGAGGAGTCCACTGAAAAAACGGGCTTAGTCACAAACTGAAAATCGTGAGGGTATCAATTTTGAACACTTACTGACTGTTCAGTTGTAGCAAAGATAGTAAATAACAAGATGAGCCACTCAGCCAAAAAAGTGTCCGCAGGAAGTATGCTCTTTGCTTCAGATGGCGCTGCAGTCTGTTTTGAAGCTCTCTTTCATTTTTCCAGAAGAGGAATAGGAATAGCACCTCCTTGCGTGCGCAGATCGACTGCTGTTCATCAGCAGTTCGGGTTCGTTCAGTACGGAGTTTTAGTTTTTAAAAATTTTAATGACCTCTCGCCTTTCATTCTAAAATCAAATTAAACGAAGAAAACAATCACCCTTTCCTCCGGAAGAGGTATTTTGTTAGCGTAACCATTTAAAAAAAGCGTTCTTCCGAAATTCATTCAAAAACTTGCTAGTTTTACTTTGATTTTTTAAACTCAAGTAGGATAACTCTGTTCGCTAAAGGTGCGCTTTTGCGAAGAGGGCGCCACCGAATTTTGAGGACACTTTTTTAATTGGCTCAAAGAGAGAAGTGGCCCCTCTTGTTATGTAGACTCTTTGGTTGTAGTTAGATTTCCCTTTCAGCAAAAATATAAAATAAACCACCAATCAAACAAATATGAAGTTATGAGTCCACAAGCTTTTAAAATTGACACCCTCACAATTTCCAGTTTGTGACTATGCCCTTTTTTTTCAGTGGACTCCTCATTTTTTTCTCAATAACTCAACATGTGGTACAATTAATTGAAGACGAGGACTTCAAGCTTTGAAATTGCTGGTCCAGCTGTTTCAATAGTTTGCTACGAACAGCATAATGCTCCATCTTTGGAAAGCTATGATAATTGGAAAACAACGGTGGAAGAAAAGTTTCCTTTTTGAATTTGCATTTAGAAAGTTTGTTCTATCATTTATCAAATTTACGAGTTGGCTCACCGTTCTGTCATATCTATTTTCTTCTGTTTGGTTTGTGAACGTTAGACTTCATCTGTTCATGTAATACACCCATAACATTTTCTTTCTTCAGGTCTTCTGGATTTGATGATGAAGAAGATGACATTGTGGATGAGAAGTATTCTGACCTACTCTTGGATACCAAAAAGTTCAAGTACGTAATTTTTTCTCTCTTGAATATTGAAAGTGTTGAATTGTTTATGAATGATACTGGATTATCAGTCTGTGTAATAATGCAAATGTTGATAAATATAATAGGCTATAAAGATAAAGCAAAATATACCAAAACTCATGCTAATGCTGAAATGGATATAATTTTGAGTTCCATGCCTACCTGAAAAATAAGAAGTCTTTCTTTTGAGGCTTTCAAAAAATAAAGAGAAAAGACAATTGGTGACTTTATAGTGCTGCTCTTGGATGGAAAAAAAACCCAGGTTGGAATCGTCTACACCAGATTTCCCATTAATCATAAATTAATAAATATATTTAGAAAAGTATAAATCTGAATTGTTGCCTTTTCTCAGTTTCTGCCAACAACATTGTTTTAGTCTCTTTCTTTATTTTGGCCCTCAAACAATGTTCTTTCTGGACTGGTCCTTTTATATTTCTGTATTATTGTTTGTGTGGGCATAGGAATAATGTCTGCTTTGTTTCTTTTTCCCAGAACAGGGATTCTGGGTGAACCTTACAAGATGTTCAACCCTCAGACACTCTCCCCAGTTGGAGCGGAGAACGAGGATGAAGAGCACGAGGGGGAAGACGGAGAGAAGCGGTAAGATCACTTATCGAGTATGCTTTGTATACATATGCTACCTCAGAATTACAAAGTTCTGTCTGACATTATTGGCAATTTTGAGTTAAGACCATGAGTTCAGAAAACAAATATTCTATCTGCACTATCAAAAATAGTAAGATTTTAAGGAGACCTCATCAAGATATTCAAAATATTTCATTTGAAGAAATTTGATATGTTATTAAACTCAAAATTGTTAACGTTAAATTTCTCAAAACTTGGTGCTGAGCAGATAGAACTTTGTAATTAATTCTAAGGTGGGGAAGTGCAACTATTCTCACTCATGTAAAATGAGAATTGTTTTCAGTTGATTATGCTCTGTGAAGCGTGTTTTTCTTGAAATGGAATGTAACAAAAAAAATTGTTTTACAGTTAAGTGTATTCCCTAGAATAATTCCATTCCCTTTCTTGCTTTTCTTCAAACACTAACTGTAAGTTTTGTAGAAAGCAATTACAAAAGTCTGGTCCTTGTGGGTTTATTTACCATGGACATTGATGAATGCTCTTTGCAATTACCTTTGCACATGAAGCTTTCTTTATCCTGAAAACAAATTATCAAGTGAAAAAAGCCTAGATGACACTTAGTAAAAAAGTACTTTAAAAAAATTGTCATTCTTGATAGACTCCTGTAGAGTGTATACTGAAAAGAAAAGTATTCAGAACTGCCATATATTGGTTGAGAAGTTTTAAAGAATGTGTGGAATAGATTAGCAAAACTAAAGTTTAAGTGCTGTAGCTGTAAAGTTTTAACATAATCTTCCCTTGGAGATGTGGATAAATCTTCATGATGTACGGGTAGTAGATATTCACGACTCGATTTTTAGCGTTAAAAAAATTTAAAATAGAAATATTGACCAGCGTCAAGCTGAGAAATGAATCGTTGAGAAAAATCCAACTTGTTTCGTGCGTAAAACCCCATACTTTACTAAAAGTAAAGATATTCACGGTATATCTAAAATAAATCATTTTTAAGACTTTGAAATTGTTGGAGCTGTGACAACTCAAATTAAGGAAACTAGTATGTTGAAATGAGATTTATGTCTTTGGAAAAAGTGATAACTATTTTTTTCACTGAATTGGAAAAAGTTTTTTGTGAAAATTCTGTTGTCATTTATACTTTTCTTGTGGGATTTTCAGAACTGGAGAAGAAAGTGCAGCTGCTGAGAAAACCCAAGCCTCTGGTAAGATTTTCATGTTGCAAACGGTAGAGCAATTATTGCTTTATGCCTATATAATGGCAACTTGCAATATATGTTTCTCAGGAAGTTAAGATTGTTTTAGAATGCTATCAGTTCTGCTGGGGTAATACTATAGATTGTAAAGTGCATAAAGCTTGCTGTTGAGCGAGAATTTGCGCTATAATAGATACAAATGTTTTCTATTATTATTTCTGGTCTCATCATTGAATGTACATATTCTATGATATAATCCCTCCTAGTGAACTGGTGGCTGTAGCTGTTTATTATCTACTAGTTCAACATAAGGAAGCATGGGGTTCAAATCTTACAGAGGATGGAATTATTTGTTTTCCTTTTTAGAATATTTTCCTATCAGCCTCATGTTCTGAGGATAGGTGAAGCTGTGAAGCACTCTGTCTTTGAAAATGCACATTAAAAAAATGTTATCATGTAACAGCTTTTATTGTATTTTTTTTGGGGGGGGGGAAGAGTTTCCATATTTAACGCTTATTTTCTTATATAATTTAAAAGTAATAAGCAACGCTCCTGTAAATGTGTTCATATTGTTACAAAGAATTCTTTTTAATGCTTGCCTTACATTTACATGTGCATTTGTTCTTAAGATACATACAACTTATGGTAAGAAAAAACGAAATTGAATGAAAAGAAATTTTGATACGAAAACAAATGTACTGGAAAATATAAAGATGGAGTATATGCTCTGCTTAAATCTGAGATCTGAAAGTCCATAATTTTTATGAGAATGAGATAGATAATGCTGTGAAAAATATATTCACTAACGGCGGAAACTTGATGTTCTCCTCTCCATATTCTCTTTTTGAGCCTCTTCAAGTATTTTATGTTTTTAATCTTACTGCGTGGGTGGTTGGCGGGTGCTCTGGTGTGGTTTGCTCCTTCTTTCCTATCAAACATCTGTCGTCCTTATCTCCCCCCTTCTTCTAAGTTCTTTTTTATGTTTGTTACTCTCTTGTAACACCTCTTATCTTCTGGCGCTCATATGACCTTATGCAGTTGCGAGTGCCGTAAAACCTCTACTAAAACTAAACTAATCTTACTGCAGTACTTATTGGCATATATTGCCCAAACAAATATTTGTTTTACTGTTTTGTATTTTCAGACAGAGGAACAAGCCGTCAGCAAACAGCTTTCTCTCATGCCACGACGGAAGCCTTCACTGATGATGAAACTTGATTTTGTCCTATTTTTATTGACACTTCATGCTTTTATTGCCTTTTTTTCCCCCTCTTTTGACCTGTGATGTGTCATCTTTAATTTCACATACTGTGGAGTATGCTTATCTTATACTTTCAATGACCATACATTTATGATTTTTTCTCATGTAGGAAGACTCGCTGGGGGTTGTATGGCTTGAGAAAACTTGTCAGTGGCCAATGGTCCACACGTGGCGAGAGGCAGAAGAATAAAAATAATGTCAAAGGAAAAATCCTAAATAGTACAAATTTGATCGACCCCATGCTATAGAAATGTTTATATTATTTAACATTTTTTTAATCGTCAACCTTCTGTTCAAATGCACTAAGCCCAGACAGGAACATTTTTCAGTAGAGAGGTAAAACTTTCATTCTTGTAACATTTGCTTCTATGTATAAAATATTTCTTGAGAAGGTGTAATTAATATCATAGATTGAGAAACAACTATCTTTAGAAATTCAAAACTTTTAGCTTAGTGCATCTGAACATCTGGCTGACAATACATGGATTCTATGACATCTTAGAACTGTAAGTGCTCACTGTGACTCACTCCGCGTATAGCTAATGCTGTGATAACATTCCGTCCATGTTTTTGTCACTGCCTTCATGAATGATTATGGCTAGACTTCGTGCTGAGGCAGTCTTTGCATTCCTAACATAATGTTGTCTTAGCCTGGAATGGTTATTGTAAAAAGTGCCTTTTATATTATTTAAAACATTTTTATTTCATTTTATTTTATTTTATTAGTTATTTGAGGCTAGTGCCATGCCTGGGATTTTTTAAACAAACATCTGTGAAACTTTGTGATTTTAAATTTATTTTCATTTCTTGTAATTGTATGTTTGTTTGGCACATGCTTTGGTTGTGTTTGTATGTGTAAATGAGGGCTATCGATCATGTATATTTATGCACGAATATACATGTGTATTTCCATGTTCTTGAAAATTTTGTATGTATTCAAGGAAAATATTCTTTGAATATCAAAATATATTCAGTAATTTGCTTTCATCAAGCATGTCATTCACACACCTAGATATTGCTTGCAGCTCTTGATTTATGAAGTGTTTGAGGTGGTTTCCATTGCTAGTACAGTAATGTTGATCCATGAAACAAGCTATTTACTTTTGTTTGACAAGACGTTATTCACTTAAAATCCTCCAAGCTCTTCTGATAACCCACTCCGTCCAGGTTGGCTCTAACTCACAGGCAGGGTGAAGTCAGCCAGCCTAATGTGTAACTTAGGGGCTAAGACGTTCTATGTCAATCAAATCCTCTTTTGAATTATAAAGGCAGAAGCAAAATGAGTTTTTTCAATCAAGATTCAAATGTCCTATTTTTTCATTTAAATGTGGATTTTCATTACATCTATAACAGAAATGTGAATGCAGGACAGGATTTTATGACTGTACTTCCTTTACACTTCCGAGACGTTCTATAGGTCTATTAATATGGCGTCGGTGGCCTAGTGGTTAAGCTACCGGAATGATAATCCTGAGGTTGCGGGTTCGGGGGTTCGAGCCGCGGGCCCAACGTTGTGTCCTTGGGAAAGGCATTTTACACGAATTTTCCCCACTTCACCCAGGTGGGAATGGGTACCCAGCTATAGACAGTGAAAGATCTTGTCAGTTTGTTAGTGTTTGAGCTCTGAACCAGCTGCTTGCTCTGTATGCTTCCCTGGAAGCTGAGAATGTTTCTGAGTGTTCTATGGTCTGCTGGGGTAATAATGTAGTGTAAAGCGCATAGAGCCTACTTTGGAGTGGGGATATGGGCTATACAAATACTATTTATTATTATTATTATTATTAATATTAAATTAAGTTTCTTCACTTTCAACCTTTGGATTTTGTGGGAATCACCAGCTTTCATCTACGATAGATAGCTTTAATGACTGTTATTTCTATTATTTATATGCTTCTGTGATACATATGTGTGTACGTACACGCACGCACACACACACACACACACACACACACACACACACACACACACACACACACACACACACACACACACACAAACACATGTTTGTATATATATACATATTTATATGTATAATGTCAACTGCTGGCTTAGTTTGTAATTTTTGCTGGAATCACTGTTTGACTCACTGAGTAATAAAAGTCGGACACACCGAAGCCGTGTTTCATCTCCTTGATGTGTATGAATTTTGAGCAATGCAGAACAGATCTGATTAAAGTGCTAAGTTCTCTGTTCATTGCTTTTTTATCAGAACCTCTTTGGATCTCTTAGACGGCAGTCACTTCCAAGGACTTGGCTCCTGACTGGATTGTTCATAAGTTATCCCAGACTTGCACGGTCAATCTTAATATATTAATGTCAGTTGTGTGAATCTCTGCCTATATTTTTAACGCTCTAATCAATGTTACCCTTTCTTATAGTAGTGTTGTAGCTTTTACTGTATCATACTTGATCAATAACAAACAACATCCTAGACTGATTATCGATTACCGTAGCATGAAAAGATCTTTGAAAGGTAACTTTCCCCATGATGTGCTGGAAGTCACTCCTTGCAGGTCCTACTTCTTTTCTTTCCTACTGGTATATATCAGGTCAGGGTTACCCCTATGTCTAGTGAATTGTTAGTACTGATCTATTATTGTGTTGATGTGCTTCTCTTTACTCAAGCAATAACAAAGAAGCTATTTTACTTTTATTAGTTAATTTAATGGTATGCTTGTATTTAGCTACATATCATATCCTGGCAATGGAAGGTCGAAGCTTGTGGCTTCAGGTGGGGCTATATTCACCAAAAGTTTGTCTGTGTCAAGTTCAGATGTTAACATTATTGTCATTATAGTAGGTATTCAGCTTTAGTAAGAGTTTAACAGCTCTTGCCACACAATAAGGTCATATAAGTTAAGTGCCGAAGATATAAGAAGTATAGAAGTGTTGTCAGCGATTAAAAAAAAAAACACAGAAAGGAGGAGAGATTAGGACGATAGATGTTTGATAGGAAAGAAAGAGCAAATCACACCTGACACACACCAACCACCCACACATTACATGTATAATATGGAGCACGTATAGGAGAAGCATTTGGAGTTTTTGCTTCCACGAAAATTCTACCTTAGCTATTGCCAGAATTGCTTACAATTTGTCCAGCCTTTCAATCTTCTAAGGAAACGATGGAACAAATAGGTCTAGTAGCTTCAGGGTTGGTGATTTTTTTTATTTTTAAAATAAAAATTTAAAAAATCGATTTTTAAATTTAAATCAGATCTGTTTTATTTAAATCTGATTTTTTTTATTAAAAAAAAAATGTCGACACAGTTTGGGATTTTTGGTGGCTAAAAGTAAGTTCTTTTAGTGCAAAATGCATTGTCTTTATTTTAACTAATGATTAATTAAAGCAACTGCAATTTTAGAAAGTCTTAATCTGCTTTATCAGTGAATTATGGCTACAGACAAAAATGAAGAAAATGTCAGTCTGAAAGGAAGGGGGGGGGGGGGGTATTTATGCATAGATAAACTTGCATTTTATTACAGTGTCTGTGTGTGTGCGCACGCTTGTGTTTGTCTAAAAAGAAAAAGAAAATGCTAATTTCAATTATGAAAAAAATTGAATACAGTATTATTTTACCACTTACAGTGACAGGGGGGAAAGCAGACTTTTAAGCATGATTATTTTAGTCTACTAAACCTTATATCTGTTTTATAAAACCAAGGAAAGGAATTTTGAATGTTTAAAGATGTAAAAACAGAATACATTTTTAAAAAGTGATTTAAATCACTGAGTTTTATTTTTAAAATCTAGTTGATTAAAATTTTTAAAAATCAACTGATTTAAATCGACCTGATTTAAATCGACCCAACCCTGGTTTTCAATTATGAAAAAAAGTAAATTGAGTACTGTATTATTTTACAGTGACCCTGTTTTATAAAACCAAGGAAAGGAATTCTGAATGTTTAAAGATGTAAAAACAGAATACATTTTTTAAAAGTGATTTAAATCACTGAGTTTTATTTTTAAAATCAAGTTGATTTAAATTTTTTAAAAAATCAACTGATTTAAATCGACCTGATTTAAAGCAACCCAACCCTGGTTTTCAATTATGAAAAAAAAAGTAAATTGAGAACTGTATTATTTCACAGTGACAGGGGGGAAAGCAGACTTTTAAGCATGATTATATTAGTCTACTAAACCTTATATCTGTTTAATAAAACCAAGGAAAGGAATTCTGAATGTTTAAATATGTAAAAACTGAATACATTTTTTTGAAAAGTGATTTAAATCACTGATTTTTATTTAAAAATCAAGTTGATTAAAATAAAAAAAACAGCTCTGATTTCAATTATGGAAAAAAAAAGTAAATTGAATACTGTATTATTTTACAGTGAAAGGGGGGAAAGCAGACTTTTTAAAGCATGATTATATTAGTCTACTAAACCTTATATCTGTTTTATGAAACCAAGGAAAGGAATTCTGAATGTTGAAATGTGTAAAAACTGAATAAAAATAAATTTTGAAAAAGGGATTTAAATCACAGATTTTTATTTAAAAGATCAACTGATTTAAATCAACCTGATTTAAATCAACCTAACCCTGAGTAGCTTAGATGCACGTACCCTAATACGCTCTCGTGGCCTAGAGGTTACTGATGTTTGCCTCTCATTCAAAGGTCCCGGGTTCGAATCCGGGTAGCGACCGAAAAATTTTCTTCTCTAAAATTGTCTCCTTTCACCCCCATCCCTGTGATCTATAGCAATGTTCCCTCGTCTGTTTTCGTCTCCTCTTTCTGCCCCCACCCCTCACCTCCTTTGCCCCCTTCTCTGGGCCCCTGACTCTTTCTGCAGCATTTCTACTGCTGGCCTACTCCTTGGCTCCTTCTTATTGCTGTCTTTCAGCCACACCTCTGATCTTCTGGTAGGAAATATCTACACCTAGCCTTCTCGGACAACGGCGAAAAATCTCGGAGGGCGTGTGTGCCATGGTGGTCTAAAATCGATAGATGAGTGCTTCGGCCGCCACCCGGGCAACATTCAAAATTTCCTACCATCTGAAAAAGTTTAATGTATCCCCGCCCGCTCATGTGACCTTATGCAGTTGCGAGCGCCGCAAAACACTTACAAAGAAAAAAAAAGTAAAATTTTTAAAAGCCCAGGTTATTGTCAGGCCGATCCGGTGGTAGACTGTCAAAGAAATCAGAATTATTGAAGCAGACTGTTAATTTGGTTCTCGTGATAAATCTTTCACATTGTTGTCATAATATTATGCACCCGCTTTGATGATTTAAAAAAAGGGGAAAAAAGAACAAGACAAATGTGATATACCCATAGATGTACACTATAGCAGAGACACTAAAATATAATTAAATACTCTCTGACTATAGTTTAAAAGGAGGTAACTCTATGGTTATACCTGAGCATGAGACAGGAGTGAAAATAAAAATAATTAATATCCAAACCTAGATCAGAAAGATAATCTATGCTTGCGTAAAGATAAGACATATTACAGCCTATAGCTTTTTACTGTTTGTTTGCTAGGGTTGGGTTTGTTTTTTTGTTTGTTCTCAAATAAAGTATAGAGAAACAATTCGGAAGAAGAAAACGAGTTTCTAATTCTATCATTATCAGCACTACAAAAAGAACCGTTTCCAAGAGGCAAAGACTGCTATACTGTTGTACACAAGTATTAGTAAATTTCGACTCCTCCCACAACATCCTTATTTAGACCCGAGTAGGCTACCCGAGTCGCTACTACTCAATCAAGGCAGGTGCTGTGCTCACGAAGTGATTGCCTTCTTGAAGAATAATTTCTCGTTGATTTGCATATATTTGGGTTTGTATTTTCTACGGTTCCGTTTGTCGTTTTGAACAAAGGCGTGGAAAAATATCCATCGGTCTGTTGCTATCGAAGGCTGGATCTCTAGGTAGACCTGAATTGTTGAATAATGCATGCAGCCTGCAAAGAGAATTAGAAGAGTAAGAGAATCAATAGATCTAATACTAATAGGCCTACTCAACTAGAATAGAACTAGATCTAGATCTAGACTCTAGATTCTAGATCTAGGAGTACTAGGACTGGGAAGGAGGGTGTTTATCATTTCTTTTTCACCAAGCACAAGGTGGAGGGAGTGGGGGGTAACGTTATAATATTTAGTGCAAAGCTAAGGCTAAGGGACACATTCACTCAGACTGATTTCACTCTTCAAAAATAAAGGCTTCTTTGATTTTGAACTGTAGCCTTTTCATTGATCTGCTAATATCGAGGAAATAACAGATTGATCCTTAGTGATATCTAATGTAAACTCTAGGCGAGAATCTAGTGTTGTCTTTATAATTATTGGACAAATTAGATGGTCCTTACAGACTGCACTATAGCAAGACAAAAATGGAAAAACAGCTTGAATCGCTAGATTCGTGATTCATACTAGATCTAATCTAGATCTAGATCTAGATCTAGATCTAGATCTAGATCTAGATCTAGAATTCATACAACAAAGTGTTGACGATTTTACCTGAAGTTGAAGCGACAGCGAGCACCTAGCCCACCTCTGTGATTGGGCCAAATGTTTTTGGTAATTAAAATTTATGTCGTGATCATGTCCTGTTTGTTCTTGTCATTATAATTTAATATATTAATTCATTAAATCTTCCTTTTCCTTATTTTAATTAATTAAAACTTTTTTTTTACAGGTCTTCAGAAAAAGAGTGAAACATGGCGTGGCTAGATTTGATCCGAGAAAAGTGTAAGGTAGGGAAAGTATAGTAATTGGCATTTTAATTTATTTTAAAGAATTCAAAGTAGATGTGTTCGGAATCAAGTGATTTAAGATTGTGATGCACTGCTTTTTTAAACTGTAGACAATAAAAATCAAAGTTTACAACATTAGCCAAGGTAACCTTGTAGACACTCTACAGATTTACCTTTATTTCCTATTCATACACTTAGACTTGCTGTTAAAAACATTGTTGTTCGTCTTGTAGTGTGAACTGGTTTGAGGTGAAAGCTTAAAATTGTTTGTCAGGGCTGAAGTGAATTCTTGCAAGCTACTATTTAATTTAGATCTAGTAGAAGTAAGTATTTGGGTTTCCAATTTTTTTTGTTTGGAAGCAGATGCACCTGGGGGGTTGAAGGGAGGTTTGCCCCCCGCTCCAATTTCTTAACTCTTTGAAGACGCGTCAGCGGTGACGATTTTAAACATGTTTATTATTTGCTATTTTTAGTGGTCTACTCTAAGGTGGCAACCCCTATATCATTGGAAAGCTCGTCTAAAGCCCTATAATTTGGTTGATTCCCTCTAATTTGTTTTCGAATTAGGATATATATCTTTGCAAAGCATTTGTTTTAGGCCCATTGTTTCGCAGTTTCTATCCAAAATGACGAGCTCCAGGCAACGTGGTTTGATGCGGACTGAAGAAGCTTTAGAGTTGTTTATGGATGATGACAGTGATGAGAAGTTAGATTTAGAGTTAGAAGAAAAAAGTTTAGATGATAGTGATGATGAATCTCATTAGTTAGTAGATCTACCTGACCCCCAAACCATGTCAAATTTTTGTTTCTTTTGAGGGCAACTATAGTGATCTTGCAACCTTGATCAAGGGAAAACTGGTGTTGTTAACTATTTATATCCGACAAGCCGCTCCCAGCGGCTCGCGGTTGGAAGTGCTGCGCCTGTGAGCTGCTGACAGCGGCTCGGGCACATTCCATTACAACGATTTCGACATCAAATTACTTTTTGAAAATTGCCGAAAAAAGGTCTCTTTTACCGGAAGTTCATTCATTAGGTGAAGTACTATCATAATATGTTCGCATGTTTCGATTTAATTACCCATTTAGTGACGTTTTTGTCATTTTTAGATTTACTACCAAAAAAGGGCCTCGGCGTAGTGGAGATAAATAATTAATGTATGATTGATTGGTAGAAAAATAGAGAAATTGTACTTTTTAGTGGTGCAAGTGTGATTTTTGTACTGTTGATAGGAAAAAAATGGTGGCCTCATAAAAAAGGACAAAGAAGGTGCATCACAGGGTATATCGAGAAAGGGAAAGTGGATGCGTTTTCAAAGAGTTAAAAGTAGTAAATCAGGGTGTTATAGTATTAAAAAAAACTAGTGTGTGCAGGCATTAATCGCAGTAGGCCATCAGGTAAACTGTGGTCAATCAGCAGGTATATAAGTACTTACAGTAGACTGCATTCTTGCGGTAGTTTGTTAAGTGGACTGACATGAAAACTGTTCTCTTTTTTGTCTCAGCTGACCGATGAATCAGAGCAGTACCTCCAGTCGAAACTGATTCAGAGCTTTGGCCAGTCAATGTCAAAAGAAGAGCACCAGGCCTTGCATGAAGAGCTTAACTCCAGCTTTGACTTTGAATTTGAGGGAAGGGTCACTGAGTTCAAAGTTCCCTCTTTGGATGTGCCAGGTAATACTATTGTCTGTGTATCTTGTGTCTAGATTTCAGTATTTTTAAAACAAATTCTGTAGTAAGAGACCTTGTGGTCTTGTAAATTGATTTCACTGGTGATTGGCGGGTGTTTTGGTGTGGTTGATGGGTGTTTTGTTGTGGTTTGCTTCTTCTTTCCTATCAAACATTATTTGTCCTTATCTCTCCTCCTTCTTTTTTGCGTTTGTTATTTTCTTGTAACGCCTTAAACCTTCGGCGTTTATTGTGTTGTAAGTGACGTAAAACTCTTACTAAAACAAAATGATCAAACTATGGGTCAATTGGTAGGTTTTCTTTTGTTATTCTGTGTGTGGATTGAAATATTTGGGGTATGGACCCATTGAGGGTATTGTCTTGGGGGATGTTTTTATTACTTTTCAGTCAAGAATTTCACTCTTTAGTGATGACCAACGGGGACTTTGCGAGGTAGTCCCAATGAGCAATTGGGTGGTTTGCAGATGTTCTGGTGCTGTTTGCTCTTTCTTTGCTATCACACATCAAACATCTATCATTCGTTTATCTCTCCTCCTTTATATGTTTGTTACTCTCTTTCAATACCTGTAATCTTTGGTACTTATATGATCTGACTGTGTTGCAAATGCTGTAAAACTCCTACTAAAATTACTGAATGATGAGCATGGGATTCAGCGAGAGGGGTAAAATCACTCTGCATGATGACTGGGCTCCTAATGTCTCCTCAGAGGTGTAGTGGTTATTGCAATGGGTGTTTACTCATAAAAAAGATGTTTTTATTAAAGTCTTGGTCTTCTGTTTTGCCTTTGTTTAAAGAAACAAACATATCTCATTCCTCAGATGGTATTCCAATAGATGTCATTAAGCCAAAAGGGTGTCCCCGAAAACCAGGCATCCTCGTTTATTTTCATGGAGGGGGCAACAAGTTTGGGTCTCGGAAGACTTCAGAGCTCATGTGCAAGCTGCTTGCCAGGTTTTTCCTCTTTTTTCTTTACACTTATTAATGTTGTTTAGTTTTGCCTGCAGAAAACAATGTCTAGTCTCATTTGTATAAATCCTGTGTTTATATAGTAGTTTTTACACCTTTTCTTGATCAAATATCAAAATATTAATTCAACATAGAGAGTTCAAATTCAACACAATGGAAAGCATAAAGCAAATGTCAGCTTGAATGTAACCACAGGAGAGCTCAAATGTAAACATCAGGGAAATCATATTCATCATCGTCATTTTAAATGCAGCATAGGAAAGTTCAAATTCTACAATACGAAAAACTACGAACTTATGATGTAACCATCGTCTCAGAGTCAGGGGAAGCTACCCTGTCTCTTAACAACGTTCAGTGTTTACTGTTCATGTCTCTCGCATTCAATACTCACTGTCTGCTCTCTAGATGTAGATCTGGATCTACACTTTTTCCCGATCATATATCACATAGCGAGTTCAAATGCAGCAATGAAAGTTCAAATCTGTCTCTTAGCTGCATTTGTTGTTTACTGTTCTCGTCTCTCTCCGTCAGCGGTTTGGTTCTAGATCTAACCGTGGCAGTCATCTTGTTTTGTTAGATCCAACACTTCGACCGTTGTAACAGATCTTATCTGGAAGACACAACAACATATTAAGCATGCCTGTCCAAAAATCAAATAATACACAGAGTCAGTCTCGAGGATTAACAGAGAAGACCGGTATACGAGAAGCCTTTCTGCGAGGTGACAATTACATTATGCTTGCTAAACAGTTGTAAATCAGCCGAAATACTGCGTACAGTACCGTACGCCGAGCAATCGAAACTGAGGATGTTGTTGAAAAGATATTTGGGAAAGTAACCACGGAAATAAAAGATGAACTGATTTCAATAGCAGAAAGCCACCCAGCTTACACTTTCAACAAAACAAAAACAGGTATTCGAATGGCTCTGCCATACACATCTCGATTTGTCGCTGCGGCTACTTTGAACAGATTTTAAGAGAGAGAGAGAGAGAGAGAGAGGGAGAGGGAGAGGGAGAGGGAGAGAGAGAGAGAGAGAGAGAGAGAGAGAGAGAGAGAGAGAGAGAGAGAGGCAGGCAGGCAGGCAGGCAGGCAGGCAGGCAGGCAGGCAGGCACTACCTATTGTGTTTAGAATATGTGTGTGAATTTGAACTGACAAATGTTGAATTTGAACTGACAATGTTGAATTTGAACTCTCTATTGTTACAATTGATAGCGCTATTTTGATATTTGAGCTTCCTAGTGTTACATTTGCTCTTTCTATTTTGATGTTTGAACTTTCTATGTTGAATTTGATTTGACTATGTTGAATACATTTTGCTATCATGTTTCATTTGAACGCTCTATTTTGATATTTGATCAGGAAAAGGTGTAATATAGTTTTCTGTACATGCCCATATGAACTTATTTTGTTCTTAATATTGTCCTTGAAAAAGTGTACAGCTTTTTGGACTATTTTAACATCACTCTTTATGATTTAGAAAGTAATATATAGACCTATATTTTTTTTTAACCTTTCCTAGCAAGTCGTTTTTATACAAAATGAAATAGAAATGCGAAAGCTTGTATTGATGATGATTTTTGAATGGTATTTCTGTAAACTGCTTCTCTTACTGTTTCTTACCAGCGAGCTCAAGTGTGTCCTAGTCAATGTGGAGTATCGCCTGGCCCCAGACCACAAGTTCCCTGCCATGTTTGATGATGGCAAATCAGTGACAAGATGGGTTCTCATGAATAAACCTCTGATAGGTGAGTCTGTCTTTCTTTTTAGAATGTATTTAACTGCGCACTTTACTTTCTAATACTAGTGACACAATCAGTTTAGTTGAATTATCTTTGAAGTCTTCTTCTTCTCTTACCTCTGCTAAAGCTGAGGGAGTAACTGACTGTAAGATCTTTATCTCACAGAGAAGTTGATTTTTACATACATTGCTGGTTATTTACAAAGAACATAGAATATTCCATGGCCTGACAGGCAGCTATGTGTCATTTTAGAAGGTTCCCTTAATAATTGTGCTGACTAGAGGGGCTACATTTTTTAGCTTGGAACTATTTTTGAATTTTGCCAGTATGATGGCCAGAAAGGCACTCTCTTTTTGCTTTTATAACTGCCAAGGGATTTTAAACATGTGGAACTTTCACATGAGACCTCCTAAATGTTTTGTTGTTATCCGAGAAGACTAGATGCTCAATCCTATTTGCCCTTGGATCAGGATGTGTAGAAAACATGAGAAAAAACAACAACATTATCAGGGATCGAACTGGGGACCTCCAGGTTGACAGGTGAACTTGTTTAGCTACTGAGCCTCCTTTTGAAGTCTTATAGATTCAAAGTTTTTCTCTCCATGTGGCCTTTTGGTTTAAAAAAAATTGATAGCTTAATTTTAATTCACAGTCATGAGAATAATGAATACAATAAAATAAAAAGTGGGTGGTCGGTGGGTGCTGTGGTGTGGTTTGCTCCTTCTTTCCTATCAAACATCTATTGTCCTTATCTCCCCTTCTTTTTTATGTTTGTTACTCTCTTGTAACTCTTCTAATCTTCTGGCGCTCATATGACCTTATGCAGTTGCGAGCGCCGTAAAACCTCTACTAAAACTAAACTAGAATACGATAAAATGTGATATTGCTGAACAGATTTTGCTCCCCATCTTGAAGGTTATAAAAATCTTGTTTACATAAATAATTAGGGCTAGATAATCTATAAAATTAAAACCCAAGGAAAAGAAAATGAGAAATGGATCCACAGCTGTTTTGATAAGGAGAATATCAATCATTTCTGTTACGTGTAATTTCTACCTTGACTTTGAACAGCGAGGGCTGGAATCATACTGAAACCCACTATTTGGGGAGAATTCTTTAAAAAAAAAAAGAAATTGTTCAACTTGTCTTATTAGAGATGCACATGAGTTGAACTGCTTTTGGCTGAGACTAACCAAACGATATTGAAAGGGATGTTGCAATTCTCTTGTTACTGTTTGTTGTTCAGGTGCCGAGAATGACAGTAAAGTTGGAGTCATGGGATCAAGTGCTGGTGGTGGTATTGCTGCTACTGTCGCATTTGAGGTCCCCACTGTTGACTTCCAGGTAGAGTTTCTTTTCTTTGAATCTTCAAATGTATGAGTAGTATTAATTTCTTCAGGAGGGGTTGATCTCTGAAAGTTTTAGTGCCTCTCTCTGGAAATAATGGAAGGTGATTAGAACCAGGAAACCTGTACGTCCTCTTTATTTTCTTTTTGTTCTGTTGCTTCTGTCAACCTCATTTACAAACATGATTTTTGTTTTCTTTTTTTCTTTCTCTAAATTTGCTATATCAAACAAAGAAAAGATATTTATTAATCGTAAAAAAAACCCGCCAAACATTTTTTTGTGAGGAATGCATCAAAAACAAGGAACCCCCCTTAAAAAAGTGAAAATTCTGCCACATTGAATTTAAGACCCCTGAATTCTGAGTTATGAGACCAATTCCTATATTGTATGCATGTGTAGTGGTGTATATATTCTCTCAAAGGGTTATATGGATAGATTCTGCTTCCAAAGTCCTTTTATCAATTGTTAGATGCAGTCAGTTTTTCTCTTTTCTTTCCTCAGATTCTAGTGTATCCCCTGCTTGACTGGCGCTCGGACGGGGAGAGTTATGCAGAGGAGAGCCCTGTGCTGATGGCTCAGATGGAGAAGTAAACATCTCATGATTGCTCTTAGCTGTGTGGAAACTTTAGATGAAGTCTGACTGTCTGTCTGTCTATCCTTCCTGTCCTGTCCTGTCCTGTCCTGTCCTGTCCTGTCCTGTCCTGTCCTGTCCTTTCCTTTCCTGTCCTGTCCTGTCCTGTCTGTCTGTCTGTCTGTCGGTCTGTCTGTCTGTCTGTTTGACTGTCTTTCTGTCCGTCTGTCTGTCTTTCTGTCCGTCCGTCCGTCCGTCCGTCTGTCCGGTCTAGTCCGTCCGGTCCTGTCCTGTCCTGTCCTGTCCTGTCCGGTCCTGTCCTGTCCTGTCCTGTCCTGTCCTGTCTTGTCTGTCTGTCTGTCTGTCTGTCTGTCTGTCTGCCTGCCTGCCTGCCTGTCCTGTCCTGTCCTGTCTGTCCTGTCTGTCCTGTCCGCCCGTCTGTCTGTCTGTTTGTCTGTCTCCTCCTCCTCTGGTAGCTGACTGCTGGTTTCTTCAAAGTATTTGAAAAAAAAAAAATCAAAACAATGCTGTTCTCTAACTACCAAAATATTATATCCCTTGCCGTAATATACTTCTATTTGTGTGTGTTGTGCTGTCTAAGGTTGTTGGAGAGCTGCATCCAGTCTGAGGAGGACAAGGCCAATGTGAGGGCCTCCCCTTTACTTCAGAAGAATTTCTCAAAACTTCCCCCAACTCTGATCCTGATTGCGGAGGCCGATCCCCTCAAGGAGTCCAATTATGGTATGTGCAGATTGAAGATGCTGTGTATCTCAATAGCTATTTCTCTCTCCATCTTTTCCACAAATGTTTTTTTTTAAAGAACACTAAACAAGCAATGTAGAGAAAGTGCTGCTTATTGTTTTTCTCCCTCTCTTTCACCCTGATGTTGAGTAGAGGCTGCCAAGAAGGGCTCTCCACTTTGTTCTCATCAATCTTTTCTACCTCCAGCAAGCTGTGCCCCACTTATATCTGAGAATTGCCTTCAGATCTAGTTCCCCGTGGATCGTAGCCTTTCTCTCTTCCTCCTTGCTTAGGGATTCCATGTAAGGCTTTGCCGTGTCTTATTGTGAGCTGGCTTCCATTGAGTGTGTCTAATCCACCACCACGGTCTATTGGTTGTTGTTAGGTTCTTGTCATAAGATTACATTTCTGATATGGTGTTTGGCCAGTGGATTATCATCATGTTTCTCAGGCAGTAGTTGATAAAGGACTGTAATTTACGTACTACGGTGGAACTCAGATTCGACGAAGTTGTCGGGCCTGGCCTTCTATTTAGTTGAATCCCAGTGTTCGTTATTGCAAATATAAATTTTTTGTGTTGATAATTATAGGCACTGAGCAAGTAATGTACAGTGTGTTCGACTTTCTCATTCAAAAGTAGTTTGGTTTCAAATGAGAGGCATTTTCATTTCTTTGATACCAAAGAAATGCTTGAAGATTCCAAGAAAATACTCTGAACTCTACCAAGCACACACCGTACAAAAGGGCAGATTCTTTCAAATGCACGCCTGTGTCGTCTATCATCTATAACATATTTCTTGCTGAACAAGTTATGTTGCTGTGTAGAGCGTAGCATATGGCAATGTTTGATTCCACAGTCCAGCGCGTAATTATTCACCTAGATCTACGTCAAGACTAGCTTGTCATTGCAACATTGATCAATAACCGGTAAAAAAAACTGTAACGCGTTTGTATCTCTACTGAACTTCCACTCCCGGACCTCTTGTGCTCCCTCCCCCCAATACCTCAGACACACGTACACACAGTCACATGTGTGCTGGCCGCCTGTCTGACCCTGACATGGGCTAACACATATGTGTGAGTGCTATTAACTCATGTTTCGGGTATGAAAGTAGGTTGCTGATTGGTCCCATGAGGCAGTTCACCCTGCAAGCGGCTTCTTTGAATCCAAGCTTGCTCATTTGTGAATTTGTTGAATCCGAGTTATTTTAATTGTTTTTTTTAATAAATTGAAAAAAAAAAAGGGGGAAATCCAACTCCTTTCGTTGAATCCCAGGAGTTTGTTGAAACCAAGTTCCACTGTATCTGCTATGTTAGTTTCCATGTTTCAGGTCCATACAACAAAACACTTCTTTTTACATTTTCTCCAAATTATTCTCTGCGGAGGAGGGGCAACAATGATAATGACAAAGAGGAACTATAAAAAGGTTGTTTGACAGTCCAAAAGTTGAGCAACCTTACACTGTGTTTGCTAAAATGGACATCTGTGGTAGGATAGGGTACATAGTGGATTTGAAGACCCCACTCTTGTATGAATGGATATGGGAGACAGAAAGTTCTTTGATTTATATTTCAAGGTGCTTCTTGTGATTCTTTCCTTGCGATCATTTGACTTTTTTTCTTTCTCCAGCATATAAATCCAAATTGAAGGCAGCGAATATTCCGTGTGACAGCAAACTGTTGAAAGGAACAGTGCATGGTTTCTTTTCTTTGCCTGGTAAGTTCCACCCGAATAGTTGGTACTAAAATCTCCGCTTGGTCTGTGCCATGCCCTTACGGCATGTTTCAGAAATTAGAGTTTTTTGTGTACAATATATATTATGGTAGATTTCATGTGTAAGGCGCTTTTTCCCTAGGCGAGCACTCAAAATTCTTTGAACAAGAATGTGTGTTCAAGCATTAGCTCTGCATTGTATACTTTAAGTTTTTTGATTTCCTTCGTCTTTTGAAGTTTTAGATATTTTTAACATACCATATGATAACTTCACAGGTGTGTTTAAAGAGGCCAACAGTCAAGCCAGGCAGGTCATGATGAAGTTCTTCCAGAAGAATGGCACTCAATGAGCTCATGCAATAGATCTTTACTCACAGTTCTGCCCAGGTCACCCCCCGATACAGTTGTTGATTGCTTTGCATGCTTGTCATTGTTTTAATTTGGTATTGTGTGATATATAAAAATATAAACTGAAAGAGCTTACCTCATTGCATGCTTTTTATTAATATTTTTTGTTTGAAGAATATTGTGTGATATTAAATAACAAAACATTAAGATAATTGTTTCCCACATTGCATGCTCGTACAATTTTGAAATGAATATGTGTGATAATCGTAAGTAAATAATCGAAATAGTTTAATGCAATACATGATTATACAGTTTTGACAGAAGTATAATGTGATAATACGTGAAATGTTGAAATAGTCTGAGGGCAAGAATATGGAGTGGTCAAATCCATTTGTGCTTGCGATACGACAAGTGGACATTTTTGTTTTGATGTTCAACTTCTGTACTTATGTCAATGTGCCTAATGATGAGGGTTTTGCATGGGTACTTTCAACTCGTAGTAAAATAATTGAAGAAATTTTAGAATACAGAGAAAGTGTCTTTGTTCCCTTTCAAATCCCAGTATATGATTTTGTTGGCTCTGATGGTTTGAATTTTACAGCTTTTGTGTAGTTTGTTGACAACTTTACTGATGTGTGCTGGCTGAGGTGAGGATCTGAATTGGGTCCAAATCAATTCTTTGAAAGATACAGGACAGTCAATAGTGTAAGATGACAGACTAAAATAGAACATGTTCTCGGCTGTCACCATGATGCAGCTTCCTGTGCTTGAGCTAAGATTTATTAATGTATCTTGCTCAAGGACACATCTCTTTGGCCACTGACCTGGAAGCAGTGTCGCTGACACGGTTTGCAGTTGCTAAACTTCTTAAGAGCCTGAGCTCACCGATTACTCTTCTTCAAAAATTTTACCTTTTGACTCTGCAATCTGAGATACTGTTCTCTCTGACTTCAAATAACTTCCATTGGCCTAGAAGGACATCATAGTCCAAGATTTGGGTTTTCTATTTGACACTATTAACTGCCAGGACTTAGGTGAATTCTCTTGACCACCTCAGTATGTGACTTTACATGTTGTTATTGCACTTTGGCATCAAACTGTAGTTACTTTCTGTGACTAACAGGCATCCATGGTTTAATAGTTAAGCTCTTTGCTGTTGCGTGAAGGAGATATGAATTTTAATTCCCATGTAAGCAAGTTTATCGAGGGTCTCCATCTGCTAGGATGCAGTATCCTACTCAGTCGGGGTTGACCTTTACTGACAGGTGGAAGCAGCCTCCCTCCTAATGGTCTCCATTGTGTCTGTAGGAGTAAAACATTTACAATCATCAAAATCATTACTGGGAGAGAATTTATTTCTGTCATGTTGTAATGCATGCAAATGAAAAATGAGATAGCAGTCATGAAGGTACATGTAGAAGTTTAAGTTTTTAAGGTATGCAGATCTATTTTGGGGCACTTTTGTGTATTTGTTTGTTTTTTATACATATTTAGAACCATATTTTGACCAAGCCATTGTATTGTAAGCAAGAGTGTTTATTGCTTTGAAAAGTTTACATCAGTAGCCATAAACTTGCCTGATATTCTGTTTTGCTTTTTTTTTTACTGCGACAGCATAATGTTTTAATTTTAACTGCACTGAAATCCAGTCATGTTGCTGTGTTCAATATAGTGATCACTGATTTGTATTCGTAGTGAATTTTTGCTCACTGTATTTAAAGCGATTACAACTTTTTACGCTTGCAATCCATTTTCTGAATGTAATCGCCAATGGTTTGGCTTGCTCATGTCCTTTTTTTCTTTGGTCTGAATTTTTTCCGCTCCAAGTGAATAAACATTGTGAAGTTAGGATCTGTGCTTTGTTAAGATTAAATTTAAGATGCAAATTTTCTGTTTATGGAGCTGAAGCTCAATATCTGTCCCTAAGAGTTGTGCCCATACTTGTAACATTTTGATTGAGGATATTGGATGTGAATTTATTTGCTCTGTGTCATCCGGGAAAAAGAGTAAAACTTTTTGAATGTGGAATTCAGTCAGCACACTAAGTTATCCAATAAGAAATTTGATCAACACCATACAATAGTTATAAAGTTTTAAATTCAATATTTATGATCAGGTCAGATTTTACTCGATTTCGCTTTTGACTCGAACCAGATTAAAACAAAAAATTAAAACTCATTGTGTCCTGAATGGTCCACTCTGCACATCCAACGAAATTGCCTGGATCTTCTGTGTGTGTTGGGCAAATACTTCATGTGACTGGAAGGCCTCTGTAAAATTTACTACGTACTTCCTTTCCCTTAAATGCTTTGATGCAGTAATGTTCCAGATGTTTGCTGAAACAAACACTTCAACTCAACAAGGACTGTATTCACAAAGTTTGCTTTCTTGTCCCTGATGAACCTCTTGCATGCAAATTTTAGAGCTGCAGGAGCATAATAAAATGAGAAGGTCTCTGGTATGAAACAATTATATAAAGGAAACAGTCTTCATGAACCATGATCAAAGAGAGTTTGTTGAAGATGTGCAACTCTTAATTGAAACTGCTATATCTTCATGTATTTGGTCCTCACAATGCACTTTCTTTCCTTTTTTGCTAGCACAATCTCTCTCTCTCACACACTTTCGTACACACACAAATGCCTAGAGAGTAGAATACATGTACTTGTACACCCAAATGAATGCAAATGACATTACATGTGTATTTTTCAGCTCTTCTGAAGGGGGATCAGTATAGTACATTCTTCTCAATTTTATATCTTACATTTATCCCTCCATTACTAAGATGGTTTTTATTGATGAGAATAATAAGAAATGTTTCGTTACTATGTAGAATATACAGTCATTGACATGCATCATATTTATTAACATTATCACAGATGCGAGTCATTATTTGCAAATAATGTTGTCAGTTATGTATTTTTATACTATACAAATAAGTACTTAGTATATTCGTCTTTGAAACTGAAGCTGAAAATTTTTTTTAAATCTTCAGAGAGAATAGGCTATAGATATTGTTGTAATGTAAGAGACAAAATGGTGGCTAAAGTGAGGACCATGACCCGATGATTCACTGAAGTATTTTGGATTCCGTCCTCTGTGCAAAGTTAGTTGTTTGCATTGAATATTATACTGTTATAATAACTTATAACATTCTCCTTTTCATATGTTGTGTTGCTTTCAACATTTTTCAGAGCTGTCGGATCTTGGTTGACTTTTGGTGTTCTTGTTTTTTGGAGTTTTTTTTTTTTTAAAAACAATTTGTGGTCACTTGCCACAATAATGCGACGGTGAAAATTATCCATTCCTGTCATTTTATGCAGTTTTGTGACAGGCACGAGAAGTCGGTTGTAGTCACTATTCTGTACAGCTGGCTGTGTGACTGCAGTGTTTATTGTCTTTACTTCTATTTTGGTGCTACTTGACTTGGATGAAGTGATCTTGTTTCCTGACTTAATAGTAGAGTGGTGTTTACTGTCTGATCTTTTCTGATCGACTTTCTTTCAGGTTTTCCATTTTCAGATTTTTTCCCCTGCATCTTGCTGTGCCTT